TGGGTCACAGGGCAGTGGGAGATCCTGGGGAAAGCAAGTGCCCAGCCCCACACCCAAACGCTGGCATTTACCCAATCCACACTGCCAATGCATTTGATAAAGGGAACCATGGTAGGCTAAAGGATCCCTTATAAGGGAAACATCAAGATGTTGATGCGAGAATTAATTTAAATATATATAAAAACATATAAAATGACGATGATGATGAAGATGATGATGCCACTGTAACTTATTTTATGTAGCATTTATCATTCGTAAATCCCTTTCAAACACACCATCTTTTATGTAGCAACTCAGTGGTTAACATGAGCTTTGAAATGAGGAAAATCTGGGGTTTTAATCAGTAGCATGACCTTGGGCAAATGACTAAACCTCTCAGATCTCTCAACTGTAGGCCGGGGTTAATAGTAATACCTCCTAATAACCTAATAGGTTACTGTCAGCATGAAAACTGACAGTGTCTGCTGCTAGCACTGTGGCACAGGGGGTAAAGCCTCTGCCTGCAATGTCAACCTCCTATAGGAGTGCAGGTTCAGGTTTCAGCTGCTCCACTTGCTATCCGGTTCCCTGCTTCTGCTAGTGGAAGACGGCCCAGGCACTTGGGCCCCTACACCCACTTGGGAGACCGGATGGCACTCCTGCCTTTGGCCTGGCCCAGCCCTGGCTATTGTAGCCATATGGGGGGTGAAACAGAGGTTGGAAGCTTTTTTTTTTTTTTTTCCTTTTCTCTCTCTCCTCTCTCTCCCTCTAAATCTGCCTTTCAAATAAATAAATAAACATTAAAAAAAAAAGTACAGTATCTGAGGCTGTTCAGCCCACAGAAAGAGCAGCGTGGACCTTGGCAACTGTCACCATGACTAGTATTGGTTCTAGAAAACTCCAGGGCAGTTTTGTGGGGGGAAGCTACCAGGAAGAGAGGTTTTGAAGGGGCTCTCGCAGGGGAAGGCAGCCTGTGGGGGGGAGTAGGGGAGTACTATATTTCTGCTGCCCACTCCCAGGGTCCTCTCCACCAGTCTCCGCCTCTCCTGCTGCACCTCAAATGTGACTCCGCATGGGAATCACGGGGAGGACTCTTGATGCATGGCAGGCTCCACCCCAGAGTTTGACTCAGAAGTCTGGAAGTGCATCCAAGAATCTCTGTCCAGTGAGTTACCAGGTGAAGTGGATGCTGCCAGTGCTGGGTCTCAGCTCAGCAGTATCACACCTGCCCTTCTACAGTACACCTGATGTATGCTTGGGATGGGGGAGGTCACGAACATTTAAAATGTTTGCCACGTGGGTGTTTGGTCTAGTGGTGAGGACACTGCTTAGAATTGCCTGGATCCCATAATCGAGTGTCTGGGTTCAAGTGCCAACTCTGCTTCTGATTCTAGCTTCTTGCTAATGGGTGCCCTGGAAGGCAGCAGAAGACAGCTCAAGTACTTCCGTCCCTGCCACCCAAGTGGGAGACCTGGTCTGAGTTCTGGGCTCCAGGCTTTGGCCTGCTCCAGATCTTGCTATTGCAGGCATTTGGGAAGTGAACCAGAAGATGGGAAATCTGTCTCTTTCTTTCTCTGTTATTCAAATAATTAAAAAAAAAGTTTGACATAGCGTTTATGTCACTTTATTTGACTCTGCTGTATGTTTTTGTCATAGATTCATTCCTCCTGGCTCTTGCTTCTCCTTCTTGCCTCATTCCCTTGATCCATTTGTGCACTGCCCCCAACTTGGAACACCCTGTTTTCTTTCCAGCTGTGACCTTGGCTGCTTTCCACAAGGACTGCTTTTCCAGCTAGGCTCTGCTGTCTCTGATCCAGGCCCCCGAACCCTCCTTGGCAGGCCACAGCCTCGCAGGTGGGATCTGCATGTTACTATCTGATGAAGTCAGCTAAACTCCTGTGACCTAGCTCCATAATGAAAGAGAAACCACTCTGTGCCAACACAAGGGCATCCAAGCGTCCCCTCGTCATAGCGTAGAGACAATGGCACATAGGCAAGGTAGAGAAAACCCACTCACTCACACTCCGACTTTGTGTCTCCTGCTTACAGAGTGGGGGAGAGGCACAAGACAGAATTGAAAGCAGTTCGAGAAGGGAGAGGGGAAGGCTTTGCTCCCCAGAACCTAGACCAGGGGACACCTGTGGACACAAACACTGCTATAGCAACATAATGACGATAAAGTGGAAGCAAGCCTAGCGGGGCTTTGTAGTTTAGCAGTATTTTGACAACAAATGCTCGTATTTCATTTGAAATTTATGAAACCTTTGTGCCTGTAATCCCATGAGCAGCAAAAAGGGAAGTCAAAGTAGCAGGCAGTCTAGATTAATAATATTTCACTTCCTATTGGAAGAGCATTTGGAGGAAGAAGCCTGCTTTATCTCGCCCCTGTTTTTACAGTCCAGGGGTTGCAATAGACTGGGGCTTCTCACAGTGGTTGGGAAGTACTCATAGATGTGTTACTAATTTATGGGAAACGGAAGAACCCACCCCAAGGTTTAAGCAGGCCATTTAGAAATGTAAGAAGCAGGTGTGAAGATCCACAGAACACAGTGACACTGCGGTAGGTGACTCCGAGCTTAAATCAAGAGCACACAGAGTACCTTCAGTAAGCTATAATAGTTGATATTCTAATAAAGCGTTCTGATGAGAAAAAGCAATCTGTTCACAAACGAATTCTGCCATATGCTTCCAGCTTTTCATGGTCCAGAAGGCCATGTCAGTAATTTCCAGTACTTACATGGGCATGCAGGATGCCTTGGCTGGGTAATGTGAATAAATGGGCTGGATTTACTGTTTTTCTAATGCTCAATATACACACCATGCAGGCTGCTACCAGAAGCAAAGTGGAATTTATGAGTTTGCACTGAGTTTCAGATAGATATAGGAGCAAAGGATCAGAAAGCAAGAATGACGTGCTAATATTTCTCAGGGAAGGCTCCTCTGCCTTGGCCAAGTCATGGGTATTCTTTGAGGGAAGGAAGGACAAGGCCTTCTAACAGTGTGGCTCTTTTTGTAGAGTGGTTTGCAGAAGCATGAGAGACTACAGTGGCTGCTTGTGTACGGGACTGCACTCTCTACAGGTCTCTAGGGGATCCCTCTGAACCCAGTCCTAACCCATGACCTTCCTGTTTCTAAACCATCCCTAAATCTTGATGCTTTTATGGAAGATTGCCTCCCTGCCAGCTGGGAAGAGTAAATTCTCTGATCAGTGAGCACTACTGACTCATCTAATATCACATGATTTAGCTTTGAGTACCTTAAACCGGAACTTTGGAGTGGAAGGAGGCGGTATACACAGCTTGACTAGTGATTCGCAGTAGTGAAGAGAAAGATGAAATCACATATTGCCTTGGATGAGCTTTGCTCAACCTTGGTGCTGCTGGTATTCAGGGCTGGACAACCCCCAGTTGTGGGCCTGTCCTGTGCATGTAGGATATTTAGCAGCACCCCTGCTCCCCTGCCCATTAGGTGGTCAGTGGGAGCCTCCTACTCCTGCCCTGTCATTTCTGTGACAACCAAAAACATCTCCAGGCCCTGCCAAGTGTCTCCTGGGAGAGCACATCACCTCCACTTTACCCCAGAGCACTGCCCACAACCTGCAGCGCTGTTCTACGACTATAAAGTTCCATGTACACTTCAAACAAAGAGGTGTATTTCTGCCATAGTGCATATGTGTCACCATAGTTGGGGATCGTTTGAAAAAGAAAAGCTGAAAAACTGGGATCACAAGAGTGATACATAGAGGCTAACAGTGCAGGTAGCCTATCTGTGTAGTGTGAGAAAGGAAACACAGGGCAATTTTACTGAAACACAGAGGTACACCCTGCAGTATAGAGATGTGAGTGTGTGTGCATGTGTGTGTGCATATGTGTAGTGATGTAAGGAGTGGGCTCTTTGTGCAGTCAACAACGCCCAGCCACAATGCCAGAAAGGCAGTTAATATGTGAGTGGTCAACCCATGAGGGGGACAAATAACTGCTCTTTAACACGCACATTATGTGCAACAGAACAACCGATACTAACACGTGTCTTGCTAGATCTTCAGAGGGGAGATACCTGAAAGGTTGCTGGCAAGCTCTGAAAGGCAAATAAAAACCAGCCAGATGATGTCCATGTGGCTAGGCTTTCAAACCCTTCCATGGATGCATCGCTCATGGCAAAGGGCATCCCCAGAGGTGCATGGGAGTTTCAACACTCACATTCAGTCTTTAAAACGTCATACAAAGGATGCCTTCTGCCATGTACTATTTGTCTTTGTTTTTACTATAAACATGGTTTATCCACTACACAAGCTGACTCTTGGAGAAAATGTGCCTCCATTTCCTATGACTTCTAATGAACTCTAGCACTGGTGCCCTACCCGGGAAAACTGGACATACTCAGGCCCCAGTTTGAGAACCGTGAAATTAAGATTACCTTCCAGTTTTGCAGGGATAATAAATCATCAATTTACGGGATTCTGCTGGTGCCCTTAGTTCTTCAACTCACTGTTTCCTCAATTCTAAGTTTTATGAGCAAGGGGATGAGGAATTTAGGCATGCGGCTCTTGCAGCTGGACAGGAAGGCCGATAAAGCTACAGGTGTTAACCCTAAGAGTTCATTAGATGTCTCACCATACGAAACCAGGCGTCCTCAGTGAACAGATGTCAGCCAGGTGCAGGACACTTCGCAGTGCGCATGGTTCTATGGTGCTGCCTAGACACTAGCTGCAGACTCATGTCCTTAAGGGCAACGTCCACCTAAGGAGACGGCTACATCTTGGGAAACTGGTACGAAAGCCACCATTTCTTCAGGTTTCTTGGAAGACAAAAGTCATTGCTACCCTTCCATTCTCTATTATGACTGAGAGAAACGGATCATGTGGAATGAGACAGGCTAGGGTTCCAGTTTGATGACACCATCTTCCCAGCACCGAGTTTCCTTATTTATAAACTGGGAGTTAACAGTAGCTCTCTCTCATGGGGTTGCTGTGAGGATGAAGTGAGAAGATGATGCTTCTTCAAGCACCCCATAGGTCTGTGTAATGGTTTTTCTTTGGCATCTTTGCTTTGGGGAAGCTCTTTTGAAAAGGAAATGATTGTAAGCTGTTTGCAAGTTAAGCGTTCACCAAAATGAGGTGGACAGGACTGACAACCGGACACAGCTCCTGCCCATGAGGCAGCTGGAACTGTGCAATCACAGACAACGGAAGCACAGCCAGAAACGAGGCCTCTGGTGGCTGTCCACTCCCCTGTTGAACCAACACCAGGGAAAACAGGATGCTTTTGCTTTTATGAACTTCTAAAGCAATAAAGACTTGTATTCAAAGCACTCCTACTTTCAAAAAGAAGTCATTAGTACATTTTATGAAGTCAGAACCCATTAGTGAAGTTTTATTGAGTGTGTCTGCTTAGCGGGGATTATCAAAGAGGGTCTAGGCATGGCGTTGGACATATAGATTGAGGCCTGGTTTTACACACAGTGCCGACAGAAACCTCAACACAAAGGCTTCAGCCACCTGCAGTATTTGAAAATCCCCAAGTATTGATGCGGCGCTAAGAGATAATGTCAAGCTATCCTCAGTAGGCTGACGGGTGCTCTTGAAATATACACATACGCAATACATTCTACTGTACAGTTTATGCAGAACCACGGGCACTGCTTAAATAATTCAGAGATGCGATGGTAGAAGTTTATTCATACATGCATCTCGGTTGAAACTGGAAAATGCCTACAGGAAGGGAGAACACGAAAAACCGGGCCAGGAGTATCCTTTTGAATTTGAGGCTATGAATACATTCAGGTATGCATCCTGTGTCTGCTGAATGCTTTTAAATATTCATTCAACAAACATTTCTTCTGTGACCACCATGCACACTGTATATCTTGCTTCAGACAACACAGGATCCTGACCCTTCAAGAGCTGGCAATGTAGTGACAAAGATTTAGAGAAGAAGGCCTTATTCAGGACTTTTGCAATAGGGTCAAGGTTATAGCAATGGGAGAGAAAAACAGGGCTCAGCTCTGAATATAGTAAAGATGGCTGAGAATTTACAACCAAGGAGCAGAATGGGGGTGAAGGTATAGCAAAAGGAGTTATGAAGAGGAAATACCAAGGGCAGGGGACTCAATCTTGACTAATGTAATGGGATGCTTGCTCAAAGAAGGCCAGGATGAGCACACATAAATGGTAGGGGATTCTCTCCAAAGTGGCTTAGCAGGAATCTTGCTAAGACCCGGCTATGAAAATGCAGCAAGGACAGGGCTCCAAGGTCAAAGCCTAACTGAGAAGGGGCCTCAAAGGGGCCTAACTAAAGTTTGGTCAAGGACACAGACTTGGTCAGGGAGAGAAGGGAGGGCAGAAGAAGCCAGAGGATACTCTGGCACTTAGCAAAGACTTCTCAAAGAGACATGATGCTCAAGCGCTTTAGAGGCCGTGTGCAGGAATCGGCAAACAGAAATGCAAGGCAAGCAGATGGTTTGCAGTGTGTGCTAAACACAGTGGGGTAACTTTCCAATGGTCAGCTGTGGCCTGAACCAGGTTTCTCTACAGGGCACTACTGACGTTTGGGGCTGGAGGATTCTTTGGTGGTGTAGTGGAGTGTGTATGTGTGTGTATACGCGTGCGTGCTGGGGGGTGTAGGACTTGCAGTGGCATCCTTGGTATCTACCCACCAGATGCCAGTTGCCCCACCTCACTCTTTGTCACTCCCTCAAGGTCTGACAACCAAAATGCCACCAGATTCTGTCAAATATCCTATGGCAGCAAAATCGTCCCTGGTTAAGCAGCAGCAGCCAGAGGGAGGAGTGCAGGACGCAAGCAACACAGGAAGGACAGCTGCGCAGATGGCACACAGGAGGGGCAAAGTACTCGCTGTGGGGCAGATTCCCCGTTCTCCAGATACAGTGATTTCATATGCAAGAGAGGCAGGAAAAGGGAAAAGAAAGGAAGTGAGTTGTTAAGTGGGGAGCCCGAGAGTCCTGCTCTAAAACAGCTGGAGAAACTGACATGACGACTGACTGATCGCGAGTGATCTCTGTGAATTAGGATGCTTTGAAAAGTACCCCATTTCTGACTAATAACTAATAATGAAAAGGGTGCAACAGAAACACAGCCATGTTTTCTAGGGCTTAACTCATCACCATTTTCAAAGTATTTGTATGTCTTGTCACCTTTGCCTGTGGAAGTTTCATAAATTTTTTTCTTGTTTACTTTCAACATATATTCCTATTGCACACAACTTTAAAATATAAAGAAAAAATAACAATTCCTAGTCCAAGTGCATGAATGTGTGACATTCTCCAGAGATTTCCAAATTTTTTCTCTAATTTAAATAACCCCGATTTCCATGACAAAGAACAGCAGTCCAGGTAGCAGGTTCATTTGTACCATCCCAGAACTGACCTCACTTGCATTTTGTTTTTTTCTTCTAGCATAATTAGCACCAAAAAAGTAGAATATTTAACATGCCTTTCCAGCTGATTTTTAATCTATTCTAATACATGAGTTTAAAAATGCCTACTTGAGAGCTTCAGGGATTACTAAATAATAAACCCTGAAGGTTCCAAAATCTGGTTAATAGTCAGACCTGCAGAATATGAAATATAGTGTTAATTTAGAATAACATAATGCCTAAAAATGAAGCCAGTTAGGTCTAACTGAGCGATGAACCACTTGCCCTGTGTTGTGTACAGAGGCTGTGCTCACTGGGCATGCTGAGCTACAGATTTCCTTCACTCTCAGCAAAGATGTTTACTGGGGTCTCTCTCTTCATTACCCAACCTCATGAAGTGTATGTTTGCATGTTCCGATAAAACACAAAATGACAAGGCACAGTCACAATTAGGACCCTGAGAAGCTGCATCATAAAATGGTATCTGTCTCCAAATGATTGTTCACTTAACCGTGATAAATATTTATCAGCATGCAATAGAACAGATCCTTAAGACAACTGGAGTCCATGTTGAAAATGAAGGGGGACTTTCATGTTTTCCATCCTCCTCCTTTCATAAGTGCACTCCTTTAACCTAAGAAATGACCTGTGAGATACGAGGACTTTGATTTTTAAGGTATAATTGTATCACAGGAAAAAATTGTATCACAGGAATGTTGGGTTCATACTTCCAATATCTACTTAGAGAAACTTGGATTTATTGTTATATCGTGAGTTAAGACAAGAGAACTGTGGGAATGGGATGTAAATGAAACAGTGCTAATTTGGATGGCTATTCAATGGATAACCTTTCATATCGTCAGTACTCTCATTGGAAAAGTGTGTTTTAAATGACAAAATAAAGATGAAAATAAACTCCTTAATGAGTCCTATTCTCTCGTTGGCCATGAGGTGTCAACTGGGGAAACATAAGGACTGAGATCTATACATCCTGATGCTCCACTTCACTTGCACAGTTCAGGCCGCTGCTGCTTAGATACGGTGCCTGTGCATTATCACCACGTCAAGTCAGACGCAGCCAGGAGAAAAGTGCTATATGAAAAAGAGGATTTTGCCTTCCTGGGTGAGTTTCAGACATGAAGCCTGTCTTCTGGCCAGAGTAAATAGTATCTGCCCATCAACCTCTGTCTCTTTTAGACACAGAGCTAACGGGCAGCTGTGTCCCCTGGTAACACCCATGTCAAACGCAGGGCTCCTTCTGCAGACTGTGTGAAGCTACAAAAAAACATGCAGCAGCCATTCTCAAGCTTGTGTGTGCACCACAATCCACGGGAGGGCCTGGGCAACACAAATGGCTGTATCCCAGCCTCAGGATTTCCACTTCAGGATGTGGAATCAGAGAATCTGCTTTTTTAACAAAATTCCCAGGTGACACTGAGGTTGCTGGAGTGGGAGCTGCACTTTGAGAATCAGATTGCTGCAGCAAAGGAAGAATCCAGAAGGTGAAAAACTTCTAGGGGCACTTCTGGTGTGAATGTCTTCCCCAGTCTGTAGATTCCAGGGTCTCTGGGATCTTCCAGTCTCTTTTCTTTCCCTTCTTCATCTCACTCCCTTTATTTCTTCCTTTCCTCCCTTTTGTTTTACTTGCATTTCCATTTTTTATTTCTTTTATTCTCTGCCCTTCCTCCTTGTCTCTTGCTTTTTTTTTTTTTTTTAATTTTGTTTCTTTCTTCCCTTCAGTAATAATTAGCCTCCTACCAGGCTCTCAATAGAGAGCAAGATTACAGACAGATCCAGCGTGGAAGAAATGCGAGGCTAAGACCTCATTCCTTGGCAAGGAGGATGAGGTGCAATTTTCAGAGCAGTTTCCAAGAGGAAAGATACGATTTCCTTCCTAAGCATTCAACAGCAGAAGCTCTCTGCTTTTGTATTCAGCATCTCATAAGCTAAGCTCATAAGGCTCTGTGAAATAGCACACACGGAACAGTCACTGTGTGCACATACCGCTGGTGCGCTGTATAGATTTTCAGCATTAATTCTCATTTGAGGGGCTATTCTTGCATTTTAGGCTAAATAGTCCCTTGGTCTACTTGTAACTTGCACTTAACTGCCATGCTGGATGAAGATTTATAACAAAAGTGGTGATTATGAGAACATTCCTGGGTGAAGAACTATCTTAAAGAGACTTTGTCTTTATAGTCTTGTCATGCTGGACTCCGAATATTAGACACATACAAAAAAATTCATACAGCGAGAGTTATCAGACTGCAGAACAGCTTCCCAAGGGAGGTCCCAGGGCCTTATCACTTGAGTCATTTGAAATGAGATGGAGCAAATGCTTGACTACACCATTAGAGAACAATCCTACCCTGGCAGAGGACACACAAGATGACCTCATAGATCTCTCTCATCCCTCCCAGGGTCATAAAATGAGAATGGAAACTCTGACCCGTCATCCTGCTGCAGGGAGGAGTGGACTCCCCAGCGGGCTCTACAGCAATATCTCAGGGGGTGGACCATGTTCCAACAGTCACCAAGGAGAAAAAAGTCCCCTCCGCAGACTGGTGTCAAAGGATGCCCCGAATAAAAATCTAAAGAACACTCTCAAAGGAGGCCCAGGATGTGTCTCTGCAGACATTGGCTTAACATGTAATGTACTGCCAGGTTTCTGGTTCACACGATGGATCTCTATGTTCCAGCTGTGAGAGGAGTGAACTGTCAGTTTGCTTCCTGTCTCCTTGTTCTTGAAGATATAACTGCCCCTGCTATAACCTATGTGCAAACAAAGAGAAGTGCATAGGTGACAACTATGACACCTCTTACAGTTCAACATAATGTGGCCTGTTACATTTATAGTCCAAACCAGCTAGAATTGAGATTAATCTCAGACAGCAACTGGTTCCCCCATCCCCTCAATGCCAGCTACTTAGGAGAGAACTCTTGCCAGCCTTTAGCAGGAAGGATTTGGAGAGGCCCCACGGGGCTTCTCCAACTCAAGGCACACTGTGGCTGGGAAAAGCCACCTGAGCTGCTTGCATCATGTTAAGATCCTGTAATAAATTGCAGGCAACTGCACATGGATGGAGTGGAGAGAGATCCTGGACCTGATCTGACTCAACATGCTACAGTTGTCATTCCAATTCCAATAGCCCAGGACTGCAAAACCAGCTACCACTGCCCACTCACATGCTCTCTGAAGCAAAGCTCCTGTGGTCCGTGGGCATTCCCACTTAGGTGGGCTTGTTTTGTATCACATGACACAGCTCCCTTTTCCATTCTGAGCATAGCTAAACAAACATCTTTACACCTGAGCCAAGGAAAGTTAATTCTCATCTGGTTTGTAATTTACCAATGGAAAAGATCCCCATGTGATATTTCCCCTGAAAAACAGACTCAAATTCTGTTGAAGCCAGGATAGCTGATGGGTGAAAAGACACCATGAGGATGTCATGAGCACAGAGGACCCAAAACTGAGAGGGAACAGTGGATAAATCTGGCAATGGCAAAAGATGCCAGTGAGAGAAAGAACCTATCAGTGGTACAAGAGGGAATCTTGGCAGACAGGCACCTGAAACTGCCTCACTGCCTGAGCTTGCCAACCTTTTCTCCTACAAGTAACATTTTTTAAGAAGAGGTGGCCCAAGTATGACTGTTCCTTGAAACCAAAGGAGCCCAATTATTAAACACTCCAAGGCTCCTCACATCTCATCACTGTCATTGTATATTTAACATCAAAGCTCACTTAAAGCCTTGAAGACTGTGGCTTGTCAAAGGTTTTAAAAAAATGAGAGCAAGTACTGCTTGGCACTTGGTCCTCAGCTGAGAGTATAGAAACTGGAGACGGAATGTAGGATGACCTAGGCATGGAACAAAAGATGGTGGCATCTAGACTTGGACCTCAGATTTCCAATGACTTAATTTTCCTACCCCACTAAAAGTTATCTATCAGATCACCCTAAAGATCTGTTTGCTAAGAATTCTAACTCTAGGACAGAAACATCATCCTCACAGAATCATCACTCGCGGAAGGTTTCTATCCCTTCAAGTTGATGCTCAATCTCAAAAGCACATGTCTGACAAATGACGACTTTGCCTTGGGCAAAGGTATCAGGTACATTTAAACACCTGTTCTTTTCCTAGTAAACATTAAGGCACTATCTTTCATCCCAGGCTGTGGACGAATGGGTGATGCAAGCAGGATGGCTTCCAAATTATCCAACAATACAGTGTGAATGTGATTCGACTCTGAAACTCATGCAATTTGGTCCCCTCAAAATCTTAACCTACTGGTACCGAGAGGATGAAAACTTCACCCAACTGTGGTATCTAGAGGTAGGGACTTAGGGAAGTGATGAGATTGTTCGAGTGGAGCCCTCTGAAACAATCCTGTTGGGTTTATCAGGGACAGAGAGACCTGCGCACTCCCTGCCCTTTGCCATGAGAGAGTCTGCACCACCTTGGCACTCTGCCAGCAAGAAAACCATCAGAGACTGAACCAATGTGGGTCTCCCCAATCTTGGAACAGTGACCTACACAATTCTCTTTTCTTTATAAAGTTAGGCGACCTCAAGTCTCTTATTATGGTGATGAAAGTTGACTGATACGACTGAATAGAGAGCCATCCCTAGTACACATGGAGATACATTCATCCTCGCCAGACCAGAATGACTTTAAGTCCCAAAGCTCTTTGCTACTTTCAAGCCAAAATAGTTATTTCATGGTAGATGATGCCATAGTAGATCAGGTCCACATGAAAAATATCAAGCATGTTTAGTTGATCATGATCGGTGGGTGTGAAAACAATAAAAAATAATAAGAGAAAATGCTACTTGCTGAGTACCTGCAGTGTCACTGGCTGTAACTTCGCATACTTGGCTTCTCAAACCTCACAATAACTCTGGGCATGCAGCACAAATGCTCATAACTGAAGGAATTGGAGCTTCAACAGAGGACTGCCCCAAGCACGCCTGAGAAGCATCTGTGAAACCTGGGAGCTTCGTAGAAAAGCAGAATCCTGAGCCCCAAGCTGGACCTAGAGAAATAGGGGTGAGGCCCAGGAATGGTCTTTTAAGAGACCCTTCAGGGACTTCTCAGAACAACCAAAGTTTAAAAAAGAAACCCTGACTTAGCGAGCAACTTCCAAGGCCAAATAAGTAAAAAGGGGCCGAGGCAACACGCGAGGGTTTGTGCTGAGTGTTGGAAACTGTCCTATCCACTTCAGGTAATTAACGAGGAGCCAGGCTTGGGCTAATCAGGTTAACACCTGTAATGCAGGATTCCCCTGAGATCAGGATCAGGAGCCTGCAGAACTCAGCGTGTCCCCAGAGACTCTACTGGGCAGAGCCCTGCACTGCCAATCCTGCTTCCTTCCTTGCTTGTGTTTAGACAGACATCTGGATGGTACCAACCCCAGTTTAAAACTGCTCTGACTCAATAGGCTAGGATGCTTCCTTTCATTTCTTTACAGTTCGATGTGAATTAAACTAAGAACCCAGGGAGTGTGCTCCGTGCCAAACACCGAACCAGCACTGTCCGGTAGAACATTGACCCACCTTCTGTACCTGTGCTACCCACTGTGCTAGCCATTCATGTGGCTATGGACCACTTGAAATGTGTGACTCATGGGCTGACTGTAAATTTTACTTAAACTTCCATTCATTTAACTTCAAATAGCACCTAGTGGACACTGGCTACCTTAATTATTTGTTAGCCCAGTTCTGGATGGCATCTCCTCTTTAAACTCTTAAGCCTATGAGGGTGCAACCCAATGCTGTCACCATTTTACAAACAGGAAAACTGAGGCTACAGATGTAAAACCGTGAGCCCAAGGACACACAGCCAGCTAGTGGTAGGGTTGGGGTCCTAAGCCAGGACTGCTTTTACTCAGGGATTTACCAGGCACGAAAGCATTCGGCTGTCATTATAGAATCCTAGGGAAGCTGTGGTCCAGAGGTCTGCCAGGCAATGGCAGTGGTGACAGCAGTGACCCTAGGGCCTCTGTAAGGTGTGTGCGGGCCTCCATCTCCAGGCAGCAGCAGTGGCACTAGTCTTTGGCAGCCACCAGTGAAAGGATGTTTGAACATCATTCTCATGTTATTAAATGCGCATTTTCCACTTAAAAATAAGAAGCTTCTGTCACAAATGATTTATAAGGAAACAATGCTCCTCCTGGCGAGCACTCCTATAGGAGCTTTCTACTGTTTCTCTTTCCAGATTTAAAAAAAAAAAAAAAAAAAAGCTCACACGGATGTTATACACATGCCTTACTGTAAACTCCCTGAGGCCAGTCCACTTCTCTAGGCTCCACCCAGTGTGCACCGCCATCTCAAGTGGGGACTAGAGGTCTCAGATGCCTTAGCACCCTCCACCTCTCACAGCAGGCTAGGGGACGTGGTCCTCCCCCAGCCACCTCCACACTCAGGATACCTTAGTGCCTCCACTCAGTCACGGCAGCAGGCTCAGCTCCGCCAGGGGCCAATCCTGAGATTCTAGAAACTGGATGGCACTTGCTTATCCCTGTTCTCTCTTCCAGGTCCAATGGAACAGGAGGATCCTGGTACAGGGGAAACAGGTGTAGGACCAGACTTAACTCACTTTCTGTGCCAAGCCCACTTGGAAGCACACAGAGTCACCCAGGGCAGGTGACTTAGCTCTCTGAGCCTCAGCCACGTCCAGGCTAACATGAGAAGAACAAAGACCCTTCATGGGTTGCTCTGAGGATTCAGGGAGGGCAAGAGAGTGGAGCACGTAACCTCGGGTGAGTCACATGCACGGTCAGGCTTCCCTTCTAGCACTCACTCCAAATCCTCAAGTTCCTCCAGGCTCATCTCAGACCCAGTCTTCCTCAGTACGCCTTCCTTATCCTCCAAGCTTCCACCCATTCTCCCAATTTCTGGATCCTTACCTGTATCTCTTCTAGTTTGAGGAAGCACGTCTCAGTTCTTAACATGCTTGGGCGTGGACTCTTCATGTGGCCTCAGCGTCCTAAGCACCGATTCTCGGCCTCACCCACATTTTCCTGCTGCAGCCAGCCCACGGCCCTGCGCCCAGCCACTCAAGTGAATATTTGTTTCACCAAATTTCTATAGACAGTTTTGTATACAAGCTGTCGAAACCAAATCCATCCACTCAAGCGTTATTAAGCATGAACTCTATCTACTAAGGACCAGGCATGGACATTGCTAACAGAGGACACTGCAGGGACCAGAACAGACAAGACCCTGAGCTGTCACGGCACTTACTGTCCTGTGGGGGCCAGGGGAGTGTGACAGCTCACAAGTGGATGAAACAGAGAACTGGTGTCTGCTAGGTGGTGATACACGCTATAGAGACACATAAAGCTGGGAAGAGAGTTAGGGAGGGCAGAATTCAGGAAGAAATGTGCTATTTACACAGTGGACAAAGAAGGCATCCCTGCAAAGGGGATATTTGGGCGAAAATTTGCAAGAGCGGAGGTCATTTTTTAGAAAGAAAATTAATTTGGATGGCAGGAAATTGTAGGCCTAAGAAATGCTCCGTTCTATACTTGGAAGGATAGCATAAAGGAAATAAAACCTTTACTTCACCGACTTCCCTCAGTTTCCAAGTTTCATCTATTTTAATAACAGCTAATGCCTACTGGATACTTATTACATGCCACGCACTACCCGAGCACTTTATATAACAGCGTCCATCAGCTCAAGAAAGGGTATAGATCAGGGAGAGAAAAAGTCACTGCGCTAAGAGGCTAAGACCGGGTACAACAGAACAGGGAGTGGAGGAGACTGCCGGCATCTGCATGGACCTCTCTCCCTAAGGCAGACACGTGCCACATAGGCACGCATCTTGTCAAGAGAGGCTGAAAATCTGGTTTTTATGTAAAATCTTCTAATTTGAAACATGACAGTAGGCAATTAAAGGTTTTCCAAAATTTTAGATAGGACTTTTTTCTTCTTTTTTTTAAAAGTGTTTTCAGGACACAGTTGGTGCAAGTAGTCAGTTTTCAAGCTCAGGCATGGAGAGCAGGTGATGAGTTAACAGAGGAACCCAAAACATGTGGCAAGATCCTGTTCTCACAGTCACCTTACCCCTGCCCCTGAGCCCTGCTGCCTGTGCCCTCTCCTGTGCCTGCTCAGGGGACTGCAAAGTCTGGACTCTGGTGAACACAGGGTCTTTGTGTATGGAAGGAATGCTCTGCCCATTGGGGTTTGAATGCAGAAGTAGACCATGAATTATCTTTTAAGTATGTAGGCATCAAAAAAATTCTCCTTTTGTTGCTTGTTGGTTCTTTTTATTATTACTATTTGCTTGCTGTCTACCAATAAAAATGCATTTGGCAAAATCAACCAGAGAAAACACCATCTTTATTCTAAACAGTTTTTCTTCCCCTTTCACTTGATATTTCTAAATTAACTTATCAATAATGTATTAAAGTAATACTCAAAAATGGAACAATACTGCACCTTTAAGAAAATATTATTTTTCCTGAGGTCCTATCAAGGTAAATTTCATCAGTATTCAAAGAATGAGCAAAGCACTTCAACAATTTATTTCAATAAAAGAAGACTTAGCTGAAAGGAGTATAAATGATGAGAACTTGCTTTAAACTGATTTATTCCCTGCAGCAATAAAAGGAATGTTTCTTCACTCAGCTGTTTAATATGCAAATATGCAGAACATCCAGCCCCTGACAGCACATCATTAATAAAACCTTGCACTGAGCAGAGAGCCCGATATTTCATCCTGATGAAAATACATGATGATGATTTTAGACTGTAGACTTTTGGAGTAGGAACAATGCGCTTTGCTGGTGATGACACCCACCAGTCAGGGCGACAGAAGCTGTTCGGACGCGTAATCAAATACTGAGGGCTGCTAACGGTTCACATTGTCGGGGCTCAAGCGAGTGGGAGGGCAGCTCAGAGACAGAAGGGGCAACGGCAGCTGAGACCCTCCTCTTTTGCAGATGGGGGCATGCTACTTTATTGTGGGGTTTTTTGGGGGGTGCAGGGAATGGGGTTATGGAGGAAATGTTCCGGCTGATGCTCGTTTTATGTCCATAGAGAGTAAGGCAGCAAGGTATAGAGAAGATACCGACCTGGGAATTTGGATCCCTGGTGGCTCTCTGTCCAGCTATTGCCCAGTTTTGATTGTGGAGTAGGTACTTCTAAAATACTCTCTCAAAACAAGCACAGTGGGGGAAACGCCCCTGTAACTACAGCATCTGCTTTCCTTATCCACTGAACTCTCAGTTTGAAGGTAACAACATTTGATAGGACTGCAAAGACTTTTAACATTTCTTTTTCACCTTTAAAACTTCTTAGATTTTCCAGATCTTCTATGAGTATGTCATGATTCGAAAAAAAAAAAAAAAACTTTGCTTTTAAAACATGTGATTCACTTTATTTTTAAAAGCTGCACCTGTGAGCTAGTGCCCAGTGGCACCCGAGAGTGTGAGGTAAGAGGGACCCTGCCTCAGAGTAGCTGGGGACCCTCACTGAGACCCTCATGCTTGTGAATAAAGTAAATATTTGTGAAATGTTAAATAAGTTATTAGTTTTAAGTGCTTAGAAGACTGTCCTGAATGTGGCAAGGCCCATATAAGTATTTGTTAAATAAATGACCAGTACAGCAGATGAAATATTCAAAGTATTCCAGTCAACAGAGATGAGTTTTCTGTAAATATTATTTCTTGAGATACATAAAAGGTATGATGGACACTTTTTTTTTAATCCTTTAACCATCTAGTATTAAGTTTACTAACATCGGAAGGTTCTTGTCTAAAACATTCCTCTGACTTAGGGAATTTCTGGACTAAAACTCCTTGTGACCTCGGTTAAGTCATCTACCTCCAGACATCCCACCTTCCTTATCTGTTAAACATGTGTAGCCATAATCCGACTTACTTTGATAAATGTTTACAGACTTAATATGATTGTCTAATCATCTATGTAAACATTTAGAACAGTGCCTGGCCTACAGCAGGCGTTCAAGCTTGTCATTTATTGAGCACCTACTGTACACTCAACCGTCTGAAAGTATTAACGCAGATCTCCATGAGGACCCTTCAGTGTCAGCACTGTCAGCCACATTTTGTTGAAGTGAGGCTCAGGGTAAACAACTAGACAAGGCTATATGCAACAAGCAGCATGGTCTTGAACTTGGTTTTGTCTTCAAATCCTACATTGCCACTGGCTTTACCTCAGATTTGCTCCTCTAGGAAAAAAAAAGGAAGAAATCTGATACAGTGACTGTTGAAACAATATAAAGGAAGAATAGATGTCCTTCTACTTCAGTCCCAGTTCCAAATCCTGTTCAAAGACTCTCCCTATCTTTTGCTTTTTTACAATCTATTGAAAAACAGTTTATACAGCAGTAAGCAATGAGAGAAAGACAGATGGCTAAGAGTATGGGACCCATTGCTAGGAGAAAATAGTAAGTATAAAGGTAGGCAAATAGTTGATGGAAAATGTGTATTAATGAAGAAACTTTGCATGGCTTTCAAAAAGTTTTTTGTCCTAAAGTAAACTTATTTTTAATTCCATTTTCTGCAGATTTTGTTAAGTGCCCTCATTACTATTAATTTCTTGGTGGCCACATTGCTATTTCAAAAGCATACATTAATAGAGAAAGGCCACTCATTTACCTGCAACTTGTGAACTTTTTTTTCAATTTCAGATAATTTGAAAATAAGAAATCAGTAAAATTATTCTTCAAATAAGTGAAGGGGATTCTTCCAGGAAGGATGAACTCACTGAACAAGAGCTGGATCAGAACACCTCCCTCCCCTCTTCTTATCCCACATTCCTCTGTCTCTCCATCACCTATGTGCTGCGTTCCTCATCCAATCAAAGAATAACTCTCAGCACCAAAAGAAAAAGAGCTGATGGATTTTATTTCCAAATATTTCAATTATAAATCAATCGTTTAGTAAAATTCAATGAAGTTTGCAAAATTTCCCTTTGAATCAGCTCCCATTGAGAATCCAAAAAGTCTTGGGGGCAAAATTTCAAGCGGTCTCTTGCAGGTTTTAGTAAACTTCTCCAAGCCAGTCCTTTCCATGTTTCTGATTTTATGTGCTCAGTAATATGCCCTCATAACTCAAATGGGATGAACCAATTAAACATTTCCCTGTAGTCTCTAAAATAGCTGCTCTTGGCATGTTTTTTGCATGGCACAAACCTCTGCGGGAGGATACGATAGAAATCTTGCACTATTTAAATATAGAATTGGGACATCAAAGAAAGGGTTGTATTGAAATAACATGGATAATTAAGGAAGTGGAGAACAGTAATAACTGATTTACATAAAATGCTAATGAGTCTCTTGACTTGTTTGGCAATTTGCACTTTAGGCTTGGTTACTGTGGCTCCAAATTTATGATCTAATTTTTATTTTAATAATTTCTTTTAGCAAGTTGTAACCAATACTAATGGGTGCCTGCCAACATGGAACTTCTTCCTCCTTCCAACATCCCAGAAACTTCTCTACCAGTCAAGCACATGGGGCCCAGACTGGGGTGGGGGTGTGTGGGGTCCCTGGTCTGGGAGCTCCCTGGATGCCTTGTTCTAGTGAGCTGTCTTTATGTTACTGATGATCAATATTGTTCAAAATATTCACCGTTGGCTAAGGTAAATGGGTTAGGAAACTTGGAAGACAGACATAGTAATTAACGGCTAAGGATCTCCTTGTAAAGGGTACTTAAAAATCCATGGAAAATACAGCTAAAAGGTGTTAGTCTGGGTGTTAAAAAACTTGAAATTCATAGTTTTAATACAATATGTGTTTTTCATGATTTTTTGAAGTACTTTTTGATGCACAGATTTCAAACTTTTTTTTTTTTAGCCAAAATAAACTTCCTTTTTATTTCGTTATCCTCCAGCTTTCGTAAGCACCTGAGCAAGCCTGCTCCCTGCTCCTCAGAAAGAGACTGGAGCCGGCACCCTCGTGCTCCAAGTTTCCAATTATGCTGCACCACTCTCTGGTGCCTTTCACATCTGAGAAGAAAGGATATGCTCTGAGGATCCCTGCTTTATTGTACTCTTCTGCTCATCTGCCTCCCAGGGCCACCGCCTCCCGTGAATGAGAATGAGGGCTTGAGCTGTCCCAGCAGGACTTGGCAGCACGCTGACCTTCAGCGTACCCTGCTTCCTCGGAGCCCTCTAAGCATGATCCATTGCTTTCTCGGGCCATTCCCCCTTCACCCCATTGATGGGTTTCAGAGCTACTTAAATTTCCACGTCCCGACGTGCAGCGGCGTGGCCGGGGCTCTGAGCCTTGCTCTCTTATGGATTGTGCAAGGTCATCGCCGGGGAGAAGAAGGAGGCAGGCAGAGCATTTATCAGGATGTATTGCTTTACTTTTTCTATCCATCACCAAGGCGATGATTCTATTTTAGTGAAAATCCATTGAACTCCGATCAAGTCAGATGGCTGTTATCATTGGAAACTCAAGAGCTGCCAGGCCATAATCAGTACAAATGCCGGACCCTGAAATGGGGGGCTCCAGGCCAGTGATGGTCTTCTGGGGATCTTTCTTGATCCTTCCTGCTTTTAAGATTTTATCCAATCACTTTTCTTTCACATTTCTTTTCAACTGTTCCCTTTACAAGTGAAAAAGTCCAGTTATACTAGGTGGAATGAACCAATTACAAGCAACTTAGGTATAGTTTGGAGACACAATGGTTTCTTTTGCCATGCTGTGCTGCTTACTAAGGGCCTAATAACCTGGTTCTCCATCAGAACACCTGTGCACACCTGAATGATCACAGAAACCTGACTGTAAGTAGCATGTGTACGTGCACACACACACATTCCAGTCTCAGCTCAAATAACCACCCTGTGCAGTATGTTGCGCACTCTTCAATATATACATTTTCTAATCATCACACTCAAAGCGTACAATGTTAAGAGTCATTTCTGTCTCCAGTGCTATATTCTTATGATAAATGTCCTTGCTTGTATTTGCATGGGCTTGGGAAGGTTTTACTCTATAGTTATCACCTTGAACACACACACACACACACACACACAAAGAAAAGAAAATGGAAAATTCCAAAGCTCCCTGGCAATGTCTTTTTGGCCTGTCTTCTGGTTATGGATTTAATTAAATCTGACATTTGAATAAAATCACTTAAACATATTTGCTGCCCTGTCGGTATTCTAAACTTTTGTGAAAGGCAGAGTTGTTAAATAAGATGACAGAATCGTTTTTATCAGGATCCTGAAGCCAACCAAAAGCAAAAGGTTTTCCCTGTAGATTTTCATGGATCATATTTCTTCCCTTTTCCCAGTTGAAGACCAAACCTTGGAGGGGTAGGCAGAGAAGAAGTGAATTCAGGTCCCTAAAAGCCCAGTGCCTGGGAGTCCACCCTACCACTCTTAAGAATGTAAAGCAATCTGTCCACACATTTCATACCATATAATCTTTACTTCATTCCCTTTTATTAGCAAGGATAATTGAATATTGACAGTGCATCCTTAAATATATTTACATCCCAAATAACAGCAATAATAATAAGGAGAGTTATTTATTGGTCACTTATTCTTAACCAGGCACTGGGCCAAGTCCTTTACATATGCTGTCTCCTGTAGGACTGAAATCCACCTCCAAGCGAGATAGGAAATCTCCATTCTGAGGCTGAGGAAACCAGGGTTCTGAAAGCACCAGTAATTAACCAGGTGAACTGGAAGTGGCAGCTTTGGGAGAATGGTTTTAGTGCCCACCTTACAGACTTGTTAAAACAAGCCAAAACTCTAATAATGTCTCTATCACAAATGGACTTACCTAACAAAATAGAAATGTACTCTCTCACAGTGCAGGAGCCAGAAGTCCAAAGTCAGGGTGTCTGCAGGGTTGGTTCTTTCTAGGGGCTCTGAGGAACTGAGCCAGGCCTCTCTCCCAGCTGATGGCAGTTCCCTACATTCCTTGGTCTTCCTTGGCTTGTAGAAGTGTCACTCTGATGTCTGCCACTGTCTTAACATCACCTTTTTCTGTGTTTATGTCCTCTGTTTTCTAAGGACATTCTCATTGGATTTAAAAACTACTGTGATCCAGTATAATCATTTCTGAACCCCTTCCTTACTTACATCTGTAACTTATGTGGAACTAAGTCCATGTGCTGAGGTCCTGGGTAGGCATGAATTAGGAGGAGCAATACTATTCAACCACTGCAGCATTCATCTGGAATTTAAACCCAGAGGTGTCGGGCCCTGTAGCTCTGGTATCTAACCTCTTCACCACAGCTCACTTTGAGAGGGACACACGATTGCCACCCCCAGGCTTCGGATTATATGTGCACCTGCTGTTCTCTCTGCTCACAAAGCCCGTCTTTCCTTGCCTTCTAAACTGCTCAGCTTCCCAAACTGACTTGCTTACAAAACTCCACTTAGATCCTAGGCCCATTTTATGTGGGGCCTTCTTGGTGGTAAAGCTTCCTCCTGCACACCTCCTCATACTCTTCTGCCTACCTTTACTCCCTCCCTGGGAAAGATAACCACTACTTTCTCTGGCCTACCTCTCACGGTACTTGGCCCTTGTATTTATCATACTGAATTTTTCTCATGGTTCACTCATATGCTTTGTCTACAATAAACTGAAGGATCCTAATTCATCCTTGGGATCCAGTGCCTAGTTCAGAGTAAGATGACTATGAGTGGTGGTTGAATGATAAATGGATAGATAACAGAACGGATGGAAACTTGTAATATCATTCCTGGATGCCTAATGACATTTTGTCTCATGGTCCTTGCCCTTGAAATACTTAGAGAATGCCCAAGGGGAGTTGAGATGAAGAAAAGGACAGATCCATCTGGAGGTCAAAGGACTAAGCTGCATGGTTTAAGTCTAGCATTTTTAAGAAGAACATTGGCGGAGAGGAGAGCAGAGTGCACACCCTGGAGAGCAATGAGCAGCACACTTGGAAGAGTCGGCAGGGAGTCAGGGCTTACCACTTAGTCACCACCAATGCCTCACAAGGAGAAGCAAACAGACTCAATCTGATGGGAGGGAACGAAACCAAAAGGAAACAAAGGAGAGATTTTTCAAATGAGTCTATTAGAACACTAACGGACAGTAATGGGAACTCAGATCAGAATCCTATTATTTGCAGCACTATCACCTTTAATTTTCTATAAGATATAACCCCCCCAAAGTATATTTATATTGAGATAACCCAATGAATAACAATGTAAACCTTTTCAAGTTCAAAAATGGTGTTAAAAGAGACTTACAGTACTGCTTCAAGAAAAACAGTCTGCTAGTAGGAGCAGAAACCTAAAACTGAAATGCCAAAGATCAACAGATAAGTTCATCCATGGATTCTCATTGAAGCTGCTAGCAAATATAAAGAAAGTAGTGATTTTGTCTCCCTTTAAACAAAGGGGCAAAATTTATATGCAAGGGGCTTTATAAGACTGGAATAAACTAAATTCTTTTAATGAGAGACTGTGTTTATATTAAACATTGATACAGGCTTTTAAAAGCTTTGGTTCTTGTGAAACTGGTTTTAATTGAATCTGAAAGCAAACTCTCTCACGCTATTTCCTCCAGCAGAGGTCCCAGAGCCGCGGCATTGGACGAATACAACGGGGAAGTGACCTCCAGCCATGAGAGCTTGAGTGCATGCTGGCTGGCCACCAGTGAGTGATGCTGAATAAATCCCTCATCTTCTACACCTGAGAAACCCAAAGTCCACTGTGCTGAATGTGATACTGTGTACTTAACACAAACCTCCTTAACCAGGATCCCATGCAGGAAGGTCAACAGCATTGCTTTGTCCACTTTACAGATGAGGAAACTGAGAATATAAATTCAAGTCGCGGTCAGGGAACTGTTAAGCTTTGGCAGTGTGTTTCAGAGGCAATTTCTGTCTGACTCTGGTGCCCTGCCCCAGAGGCATCCATCATGGGGAGGCTAAGTCAAGCTGCAGCCCAGCAACTGACGATGCCCCCACATGAGCCACTGCAATCACAGCGCCTGGGCTGAGAGGTAACACAGTGCCTCCTTGATGAAAAGTCATCAAGTCAGCATAATCTGTGAATGGCAGCTCACTGTCTGCTAACTCATTCACTCTCCAGTGAGGGACTGCATGGCAAAGACCATGCCCTTGGCATCACCCTTTTCGGCACACAACTACTAACAGGAAGGGACAGTCACTACAATTTTTGACAGTGGCAGAGGTTGGTTGGGGCTAATACCACTGCAAGCACTGGCTCACTGGCTCTCACGACCACATGGTAGAGAAGGGACTGAGTTACTCCTGCCATCCCCATTTCACAGGAGAGGGGACTGAAACTGACAAAGGTTAGGTAAGAGCAGCAAGGCTGCACAGCCACTGAATGACAGAGGCAGTCTTTAAACACTCTCTGTCCGACAAGCAAGACCCATGGCTTCTCCTCATCTTCCTAGGCAGCTTTTAAAGACTGTTTGCTGGCCACTGTCCAGAGCACTGCAGCACTTCTTCTTGTCTGACACCCACAATGAGTGACCTTTTGAGCAGACAGTATGTGCCATGGGTTTGTGAAAGATCATGGTCCACACAACAGTTCTCACCTGGGGAACTGAAGATGGTTAGGCTTCGTGGGGAGGAGAAAGAGAGTGAAAAGTACTGCTTTAGAGATGAATAAATTTTAGGAACAAACCCACCAAGATTCCAGATTCAGAACGCCCATCGCAGTTACAGAAGGGACTTCTAATCCAGCCAACCACTGGGTTACAGCATAGGAGATCTCGTGAAGACGACTTAACTGTCAAGGCCCCTCACTACATAAATGTCACCCTCTGGACATCAGCACTGTCTTAGGGGATGCTGACCTCTGGCTTAAGTCTGCATTACCATGGAACCTCCTTAGGAAGCCTTCTTTAGAAGTCTGCCTGTCAGGAGAATTAAATGCAAACTTTTATCTCTCCTTTCTAAATCTCCTCCTTTCAATCACTAATCTCCCCAGGAAAGAACACAACCAAGCAGTCCCATTAGGCAGGAGGCAGATAGAACTGATGTAAATCCCCACTGAATTAATGGACCTGCTCCTTACGCACGACGGCCCCTCCCAGATGACCTTGCCAATCAGCGCATCTTGTTTTGTCTGCATTTTCTGATGATTCGAGACCCAGCTCTCATCTGAAGGGATCCCTGCTAGTCCTCAAACAGGCACCCCGACCCCATGGCTCTAGAGGCTAAGTGAAATTCACAGCCATACACAGATGTAAAACGTGGTTTAAAAGGCAAGCTATAATACCCTAACCCTATTAAACAGACCCTAAACATGCTGTGAAAAGCACCACTGTTCCGGGGTTTTACTGCTCTAGAGCCAAAATGGAACCCCTCTAGGTGTAAGATTGGGTATGATGAGTCAGGATAGGCAGCCTGTATGCAGTAACAAGTAACCCCAAATGCCAGTGTCTTACGGCCACAACACAACACAGAAGCACAGTTTCTCCACATCCCTCTCAGACAGGTTGAGCTTCTTGTCTTTGTCTTTTTTCCAAGACCCATCCTGACAGGGCAGCTCTGTGTGGACTAGTACAGGGCGCAGGACCAGCAGAACAGAGGTCATGGGGTAGCACACTGTAGGTTCTTAGGGTTTCTTCCTCAAAGAGATGCATATCACTTCCACGCAGATTCCAGTGGCCAAAGGCAGTCAGCTGGCAGGGGAGGCCATCTGGCCCCCAAGCGTGTACCCAGACAGAAAACTCAGTGATTATGAACAGCCCTACACAATGGCTCCACAATGGGCAGTGCTATTCACAACTGAAAACTTTCTTCTCTGGGCTCCCACAGGCATGGATGGGGTAGAGCCAGAATTCAACGCACGATTCCAGAGACCCTCATGCCACCTTGAAAACACATTGTCTGTAACCAAGAGCTCACTGTTCCAGTAACCCCAACCTTCACAGGAAATTCCACAAGGCCCTGGCCTCTGCTATCTTTTGTCCCCATCACGTTTACCTAATAGATGATCCTACCAATTCCCATTGGCAGCCCTTTGTAGTGTAATGAACAGGATGCAGGCTGATGGATGCAGCCACTGCACAGAAAACGTCAGTTCTTTCATTAAGCAAACCTTCCCAAGTTCATTGTATTGAACCAGGGTTTAGGCTATTAGGCTGACACATGACAGAGCCAATTCTAGTCACATTGTAAGTGCCTATTCATGTTTGGCAAATTCCATGTCACGCACATGCACACATTTACAATTGTTGCCGGCAACTCCCCCCCGCCCCCCGAAATCTATTTTCCTATTTTTAACTGTTAATAATTAAGAAAAATCCCACCTTAATAACAGAGTCTCAACAAGCCTAATGTAGGGAGAGTATAACGGATCGCCATACGGAGTTTCCATTCCACTAGCCGCCCGACTGGCTTGCTCTTCCCAGATGCATTGATGTTGATATACTGCATTCATTTGTAAAAGGGAAAAGAATAAAATATTTGAAAACACAGTTTGAACATTGCTGGCTCTTCTTTCTGCACACATCGTCAAAGAAAAACATTATTTACGAGTTTGGAATCCCTGTAAGTAGAAGGGCACAGGACTAAAGGCACTATGTTAGAAGGCAGGCTTTGTATGAGCCAGTCTGATCAAAGAAGAGTTCAGGACATTCCCAATATGAAGTGCTATCTACTCTACCTCCAACCAGCCACTCCCCACGCACGAGCCCACTCCACAGCATCTACGTGGCAAACATTCGCTGGGTGCCTACTGAGTGGCCAGTCCACACTGATGTCAGAACATGAACCAGCAGGAGACAGACAGCCAACATGCAATCACGTGCAAACGTGCTCAGTGGTGTCATCCACCCAACCTCTTTCCTCCACCCATTATCATCACCTGGCTCAGTCCCCAGATCGCTCTCTCAGTCCCCTGTGTCACTTCTCAACCCAGCTTTGTGCTTCAGCTCCCAAGCCCTGCAGAATGCTCTTCTCACTGCAACCAAGGAATCTTTTCAAGAGCATCAAACTGCATCACCTTCTTGTTAAGTAACTTCCATTGGTTTTCACCACAATTCAAACAAAATCCAGACTGCTCACAACGGCTTCACAACCTGAGGGTGTGGCTAACACTCAAACTCCTATCCTATTATTCCACCTGACTCCAAACACAGTGGCTGTTCTCCTTCCCTTGAAGAGGCAGGTCAAATGTACTTCCACCCAGGACTTGGGCACTTTGACAGTATCGCTGCGAATTTAGTTGTTGGGATCTTTGAATGGTTATCATCACTCAGAGTGCAGTTCACATGCCACCTCCTCAAACCCATCTCTCATCACATACAAAATCGTTACTTGTTTCTTTCTCCTACTTCATTTGTATTTACAATGATGAGAACATTTCAAGACATACCCCTGATATCATAGATATCTGTATCAGAGACAAGTTATAAAAGGGTAATGGAATGAAAATATTAAGTCTGCACTGAAATTTGTCCAGGACATTCATCACAGCAGTATTCATAACAGCCACAAAGCAGAAGCAAGCTTTGCAAATGTTCATAGCATCACCATTCATAACAGTCAGAAATAGCCAAACAGTCACACAATAGAATTATTCATTATAGCCACAAAGTCAAACAACATGAATTGATCACTGGATAAAAAAATGTGATTAATCTATCTATACAGGGGAACACTATTTGGCTATAAAAAGAAAAGGAACACTAATACTTGGTGTAGCATGAAAAAAATCTAGAAAGCATTATGCTAAGCGAAAAAAACCAGTCACAAATGGCCACGGGGTATATGATTCCACTTCCATGAATTATACAAAGAGGTAAATCATCGGATACAGCAGATTAACAGGAGCCAGAGGCTGGGTTGGGGAATGGCGAGTCACTGATAATGGGTACAGTGCTTCTTTATGGGGTGATAAAATGTTCTGGAATTAGACAACTGTACAACTTTGTGAATATACTACAAACCACTGATTTGTTCACAGTAAAAGGGAGGATATTACAGTACTGAGTTATAACTCATTAATAAATAATGTGATAAGATGTCACTTTCAGGATTAAGTTCAAAAAAGACTCTGTCTTCTGTCTTTCTCACTAACTCCTTCTCTCTCTCTCTTTTTTTTTTTTTTTTTGACAGGCAGAGTGGACAGTGAGAGAGAGAGAGAAAAAGGTCTTCCTTCTCTTTTACAGAGACAGAGAGAAAGGTCTTCCTTCTCTTTTACTTTCTTGCTCAGACGTAAACCAGCCACCACAGAGTTCCTTTTGGGTGGGAACATGTGGCAACAACCATTGGTCAAGAAGGAACTGAGGCCGTTGGTCCCAACAACTGTCAAATAACTGCATCCTGCCAAGAGCTCTGAGCATGAACTTGAGAGTCGATCTGCCCCGTCAATGAGAGCAGCCCCCTCGGTACAGCCTCTGAGGGACGTTGAGCCTAACTCAATTCTTCATTCACAAAAACCAAAGTGACAAATATACATTGTTTTCAGATCAACAAACAACAAAAGGATAGCCCACATCACTGAGTACCAAAGCACTAGGAACCAGGCCGATGACGGCCTGGCTACTCCCCCCATTTTGCCACACTCTTGAAACTGGTCCAAAAGGCACAATGTCTGACACAGGTAAGTGCTCAACAGTCTTCTAGAACTGAGGAAAATTTTCTAATACTGGTTTCTCCACAGGAAGCTACAAAATGCTCATGAGAAACAGAACAAATGGAAATGATAAAAATACATAAATCTCAACATGTTCCACTATTTTCCAGTCCCTTACATGCAGGATGAATTCTGAACAAGGATGTCCCAGACGTTGGCGAATGTGAGCTGACCTGGGAGCAACACCACTCCATGGACAGACAGGAGGTGGCTGTGAGATTTGGCCTTGGCTCACATGGTAGACAACTCAGGCTCAGAGCAGCGCCCCATGAAGCCTCCTGATGAAGTACTGAATCCTAATACGCTGCAAACCCCAAAGTCAGGGGGTCAACAATGACACGGGTCTAGAAGCAGTTCACAGCCCTCCTTGAAGCCTGTCCCCCAAACATCTCCCATGCAGAGCCCCACCCATCTCTTGCAAGAGAGATTTATAACAGGGCTGTCAACACAATCTTACCTTTACGGAAAAAGACAAAAATAAGAAACACCTTACAAGAAGATGGCATGGCGAAAGCTAAATCATAAATGTTTGATAAGGAATGGTCAAATCGAGACAAATAACTGTTCAATCCCACTTTGTATTAAGCAGATAAAGTCATACAGAAAATCAATGTGATATATTGAAAGGGGGGAAAACTGCCAGGCTTGGGGATTGGGCTCTACACTGTTATGAGGTGGTCATTGCAGAAGAAACAGACAATACAACAGAACATGAATTTTTAAAATTCGAGTACTGATGCCTGCCTTGCTGGACCTGTCGATGGCATTGCAGTCCCCTCTGCTGCTTCTGGAGATCCTCTCAGGGGTGATGCAGACATCCCCATGTGTGCAGAGTGGAGAGGCAATGGATCTAACTGTCTTAGAGGGCAAATTGGCAATTCTTTTAAAATTAATTATTTCAAAGGTACACAGACCCTTTGCTCCAGCACTTCTGCTACTGGAAAAATCTCTTCAGATGTTATCCTTGCTCAAGTAGACAATATACATGCATAGCATTTTTCATCACTGAGTCATGTGTGATAGCAAAACACGGTCAATAGAGAAACAAATAAAAAAACTGCAGAATGTCTACGCATTGGAATAGTGTGAAGTCTTGGCAAATAAGGAGGTCCAGCTGCACCAAATAAGCTCCAAGACAACTATATTAAATGAAAAGAGCAAGGCAATGAATGGGATGCATTTAATAGTACTAACTGTATGTTTTTTCAAAAGGCTACTCATGCTAGTATCTAAGAGTGATTATATATAACATTTCTTAAAGAATCCACAATAAACCTTTAATAATGGCTTCTTTTGCAGAAAAATTTAAGAATGAGGGAACATTCACTGTCCATTCTTTTAAAAAATTTCTTTGATTTTCATTTAGGTTAGAAGGCAGAGAGACAAAGACAGGGAGACAGACAGAGAGAAAGAAATCTTCTACCTGCTGGTTCATTCCCCAAATGCCAGCAACAGCCAAGGCTAGGCCAGGATAAAACCAGGAACCCAGGGCTCAATCCACTTGGGTGCCAGGGACCCAACTACCTGAGCCATTATTTGCTGCTTAGCACAGTGTGAATTATCAGGAAGCTGGAAGTAAGAGTAGAAATGGGACTTGAACCCAAGTGCTCCAGTCTGGGTATCAGCGAACCCGAAGTGGTGTTTTCACTGCTGTGCCAAACACCCTCTCCTATTGTTCAGCCTCACTAAAAGGTTTGAAACTTGTTGCAGGAGTTTCCTTATCTTTTGTGGTTTATTCCCACCAAGTGAGTTGGGAGCTGGGTGGTAAGCAATACTAACAACCAGGACCAAAGCAAAGCAGCAATAAAAACTTTTTCAGGAGCACCCTGGCTTATGTCACGAAATATCCCATAAAGGACAAGGAAGAACAGAGGTGCTCATTACCGAGTCTCCAGGCCACGTCCTCTCCCCAGGAACATGGGAACGTGAATGCTGTGCTAAGTAGCCTTCCCCACCTCTCAGGAAGTGGCTCTAGCTCCTGTGTATTCCTCTGTGTCCCCAAGCCCATACCAAAGCTCCTCAAATAAACAGAATCACTTGCTGCCGGAAGAGGGACCTTTCACACACAGAAGTGCATTTTGGAGATGGGCTCCCAGTGACCCATCTACATTGACCACTTATGCCCACGGTAATGACTTCCCTCCTGCTGATGGGGAGATTTTAAGTAATCTGTAATTAAAAAAAGAAAAGGCACAATTTGCAAAGCAAACAGATGGGGAAAGGCCCCTGAAATCCTGAAACAGGGAATGCTAAAGGCATAATCAAAGCAGTGAGCTCCTGGCCAGAGAAGATAAACAACCCCGGTATCACGGGGTGACTGATGTGTTTGCTTCGAGGTGAAACAGGAAATGAAGATCAATTAACAATGTACAGATGAGCCAAAAATTACTTGGCTTTATTAGGTGCTCTAAGAGCGTGTGAAGTTCCTGGCAGTGCAGGCCCCTGGGATCCGAGCAAAGCTGATAAAAGCGAGCCAGAGGAAGAGGGGTCTGCACGTGTGACAGGCATGTGTGAGGAGAGCCGTGCTATCTGTTTAAAGAAGAAGAGCGGCTCACACAACTCGTGTATCTGTGACATGACACCGGCTGCCTCCACACAGGCAAAGATAGGGACAGTGTCATTTTTCCAGTACCTTGGGGCATGGCGAACAAAAAGGAAAAGGCTCCTTTAGAAAAAGCCATGGAACTCTCCTGACCCATGGATGGGCGGTGCCAATGAGGACAGAGCTGAGCCCACTGAGCGCACTTCAGAAATGTCAGGTAATTGACAAAAATGATGCCTTAAAAGCGCTTTTATTCATGCTACACATTTGATCAGAGATTCTCAAAATCCAGGGTCCATCAGAATCCCCTGAAGGGCCTATTAAAGCCAGCTTGCTGGGCCCTGCTGCCGGGCCGCCTGGGAATCTGCCTCACAGGTGCCCAGGTGCTGCTGTTGCTGGTCAGGGGCCACACTTCAGGGGCTGCCAGGGCAAGGGCTGTGGTTTAACCAGAACGTGGTCTAAGTCCTGCCTCTGTTTCTTGGTTCTCTCTGTGACTCAGACAGTCACTTCATGTCTCTGTGCTTCAGTTTCCTTGTTTGTAAAATGGGAGACAAGTACCACCTTCCTGGACAGCACTGAATATCACGGTCCTCAAGTAAGTATCTGCTTCAGAATCTGACTTGACTTAGTAATACGGTCTTTGCAGATATAGTTAGTTAAAGCACAAGGAGGTCACACAGACACACACAGGGGGAAGATGGCCACGAAGATGGGGACCATGGCTGCAGTGACACTGCCATATCCAAGGAATTCAAGGACAGATGGCAACTCTCAGAAGCAGAGAGAAGAGCCTGGAAGAGATGCCCACTAAGAACCCTAGAAGGGCCCAATCCTGTTAACACCTCAGATTCTGGTGTCCCAGTGTGTGAGACAATGAACTGTCACCTTAGGCCACAGGGTGCATGGCCACCCTTCATCCTAACACACTGCTTTAGGGCTCAGCGATGAGAGCCAGTGTTTACAGCAGGGTCTGGCACACAGTCGGCATCACTCATGTCGTAGTCCATCCTCGTATCCTGCTTTTATCAGTACTGCCTGGCTTTGGCATTTTGCCATGGGAAGCACATTCTCATGGCAAGAAAACCAAAACTTCAAGGGAGAGTACAGGACTGAGTTTCTCAAGCTGGGTGATTTCTGACCTCTCTCCCACCATGCCCCGGGATATTTAGCAACATCTGTGGACATCTTTTGTTATTCAAGGATTTGGGAATGGAGCGAGCTGCTATGGGGATCCAGCACGTGGAGTCCAGAGATGTTGCTCAACGTCCTACGATGCACAGGACAATCCTCTGTAACAATCATCTGACTTAAAGTGTCAACCATGCCACAGCTGAAAAACCTAAAAAGTGAGCAAAGTCACCTGGCCACTAAGTCCACCTCCCAAGGTCAGAGTAATTTATGCAACCCTACACCATTCTTCCTTTTTTCAAATATTTTTGTTATTAGAGAGGAAGACAGACAAAGAGAGAAAGATCTCTCACCTACTGGTTCATTCCCTAGATGTGTGCAACAGCCTGGGCTAGGCCTAAGTCAGAAGCCAGAAGCCAGAATCCCATTCCAGGTCTCGCATGTGTGTGGCAGGGATCCATCCACTCGAGCCATCACTTGCTGCCTCCCAGTATCTGCATCTGCAGGAGCTGCACTCAGGAGCCAGAACCAGGACTGGAGCCCAGGCACTCTGATACAGGCATCTTAAGCAGTTGTTGTAAGTACTGAGCCAAATGTTTGCCAACTTTTTTTTTTTTTTTTTTGGACAGGCAGAGTGGACAGTGAGAGAGAGAGAGACAGAAAGAAAGGTCTTCCTTTGCCATTGGTTCACCCTCCAATGGCCACCGCGGCCGGCGCACCGCGCTGATCCGATGGCAGGAGCCAGGTACTTATCCTGGTCTCCCATGGGGTGCAGGGCCCAAGCACTTGGGCCATCCTCCACTGCACTCCTGGGCCACAGCAGAGAGTTGGCCTGGAAAAGGGGCAACCGGGACAGAATCCGGCACCCCGACTGGGACTAGAACCCGGTGTGCCGGCCCTGCAAGGCGGAGGATTAGACTAGTGAGCCGCGGCGCCAGCCTGCCAACTTTCTAATGAGAACCATTACCATCTTCCACTCATCACCCTCATAGCCCCCAAAACCTATGTTAATTAAAAACAAACAAACAAACAAAAAAAGCCTACAACAAAAATCCGGAGTTAAGCTTGGCCTACGGGAGGGAGCCTCAAGTACTTCTATGCCCATCTCCCAAGCAAGGAAAGCAAGATGGCCACCATCTCCAGTAGGAATTACATTCAAGGAGATTCAGGAAGGGCGTAAAATCCTTCAGCAGGTCTGGACTACAAAGTATGAAGGCCAAGTACGCCACTGGGAAGGCTTCTAGCGTTAGCTACCGCCAGCGACATGCCTTACCTTCAAGCAGCGCTGAGTGTAGTGATTCTGCCTTCTTCCTGCTTTAGTGACATCACTGGGCATCACGGGGCAGGGAACCATGGGGACTCTGTCGTTAATAAGCTCATCAATTATCGTTATGGACATGCTGGGGTACCCTGTGACCTGGGTAACAGGAAGCACAGGCTCTTTCAGGGAATGCAGGAGAAACGTGGGGAAGAAGGTGAGGACCCTCCTGATTCTTCCCTTCCCTTCCCATGTGGGCCCAGCCAGGAGAGAAGAGACTAGACGAGGTACTACATGAGGAAAAGACAATGGCAGATGAGATGATGGAATGGACAGATTCCACGCAGTGGAAACAAAAAACTTCTATGATGGGCAGGACACAATAGGTGGGATAAGAATGAGGGAGAGGCCCAGGAGGCCTTGTGGTGCTTGGGTTGTGCAACTGCAAGAACAGTGGTGCCAAACACAGAAAAACGAGTGTCATTACTTCCAGTCTGAAAAGCATCCATGAGCTGAGAGGGAAAATGTGCTTCATCAAGCTTGTGCTCGAAGGCCCTGACCCTCCAGAGTCTGGGGCAGACCAGAGGCCATGACTCTCAGAGACTCCGGGCTGGCTTACTATCTGTACCCTATCCCTAAAAGCCCTCCTATTCCCCAGGAAGTCCTGACCCTCCAGAGTCTGGGGCAGACCAGAGGCCATGACTCTCAGAGACTCCGGGCTGGCTTACTATCTGTACCCTATCCCTAAAAGCCCTCCTATTCCCCAGGAAGTCCTGACCCTCCAGAGTCTGGGGCAGACCAGAGGCCATGACTCTCAGAGACTCCGGGCTGGCTTACTATCTGTACCCTATCCCTAAAAGCCCTCCTATTCCCCAGGAAGTCCTGACCCTCCAGAGTCTGGGGCAGACCAGAGGCCATGACTCTCAGAGACTCTGGGCTGGCTTACTATCTGTACCCTATCCCTAAAAGCCCTCCTATTCCCCAGGAAGTCCGTCACAGGAAGCACCATCCACCTTCCTGTGTCAGAAAATCTACCCGAGAATGTTCACTCCCAGCTTTGGAAGGAGCCGTTTGTAAGGACAGCCAGGAAGATATCCGGGGATGTGAACAGCAGCCCCAAGAGGAGACAGAGATAGGGAACGGGCATTGGCGAGGGCAACCCCACGGCGACATCTCAGACGCTGCCCTGTGCTTTTGAGGAACGATGGGGAGGCTGAGACACAGAGCAGTGGTGCTGCCTTGAACACACACAGAACACACACACCAGCACACAGACACACACAAACTAAGGAGAAACAGCGGAGCCAAATTTTTTTCTCATGTTGACATAGTAACTTTGCTCCTCCCCCACGCCACACTGTAATAAAGTAAACCAGACAGAGGGAAGAACAAACTACACCCCTACTCCAAGCATGTGTTTGGCTTTGAACTGAGATCTGACTCAATGGTTTTTTGTTTTGTTTTGTTTTTTCTGTTTGCTTTTTCCCTTAAAATCCAAGTGCTTTCCCTGGGCAGTGCATTTTGGAGTGTAAGATGCACACAGATAACCACATTCAGAAACAAAACTGGTGGGACTATGAGAAAAGGAACACACACAGGCCAGAGTCTAGGAAAATCAAGTCCACATCATCTCAACAGTCTCACTTCTAAATACGGCCTCAAATCACAGATTTGTTTACTTTCATTTAGTGTAACTGTTCACAGCAGAACATATCAGAAAATTCTGTAATAGGGACCACAGCCAGGAAATAGTAAATAATTAATCACCCTCCCTTCCAGCCTCTTGCATCTTTGTTGATATAAATGACCGTATAATTCCAAACCCAATTATCACTACTTAGCCGTTCCATTTTGTAGTTAAAATCCCACAAAATTAAAGTGCATCAATTGTTAATGGTAATAGACCAGACAAGGGATTAAAGATTATTTTAATGTTTATTTCCTGTCAAGCGATCTTTTGGCAGGAAACACCGCAGACAAAAGGCTGTACACTCAGATGAGATTCACATATTTAAATCTTCTAACTTCTAAAAACATTATGGATATAATTACTTGTTTAATTTACTTGTTCCCTCAAGATGCAGGCTGAGGAGATCAAGCCAATTTTATTCTATCAACTTCTCAGAAAGGAAAGGCACTGCTCTGTAGCATTTTATAAGCTGCTTTATCAGAGTAATCAAATCAAATTTAGTGCTCATGTCCCATCACTCTGAAAAGCTGGGAGAAGCTGTGAGGGGGAACAGAGCATGAATGGAATGAGACCTGAGTTCAACTCTCGGGCCAGTAAATGCGCAGCCCAGACAAATCACTGGAGATCTGCTTCAGTCTCAGTTTTCTTGTCTGTCAAATGGGAAAATTCACAGACAAGGATCCCTGACAAGGCTGTATTAGATGTGGGGAAAGCCACAGAGTTATGGCAATATAACAAGCAACACAAAATGCAAACATCTACATTCTGATGTGTGGATACCTAATTTGTAAGGTGATCACATAAATGAGTTGTGCTTGTCTGAATAATTTTTTCTGGGGTATCACTGAGATAAATACACACACACATACACATAGAGGAATATAACTCAACAACCAGGGGATCTTTGAACCCAATTTTAAACACATTAGTCTAATTCCTAATATCAGGACAACAGCAAAATTAAGTTTTATCACAATGTCAAATCAAATAATTTATTCAAGATGTGGGTACGAAAGGTTAACATATTCACAGGCCAAAACCAAATATTTTCAATATATGTGCACACGGCTACAAGTATATATGCATAGAGAGAGGTATAGATGAATATGTAAGTAAATGGTAGGAAAATAGAAAGATGGATAAAATAAACAATTGCTCATCTAAAAGTACTATTTATACCACGAAGACATAATAATCTATTGAGTTTATCTCTCACCTATTTAGTTTCTGCCACCTTTACCAGAATATAGAGACCATGAGGGCAGAGGCATCTACTGTTTTGTCGACTGCTGTATCACTAACATTTAAAACAAGACCTAGCACTTAGTAGGTGCTTGATAAACACTGCTGGTATGAGTGAACAATGGTAACAGTGGTAACTTTATGATAGTTGCACGTTTTTTAAATATTTATTTTATTTATTTGAAAGAGTTATAAAGAGAAGTAGAGACAGAGAGAGAGGTCTTGCATCCGCTGGTTCACTTCCCAGATGGCCACAATGGCCAGAGCTGCACCAATCCAAAGCCAGGAGCCAGGGGCTTCGTCCAGGTCTCCCACATGGGTGCAGGGGCCCAAGGACTTGATCCATCTTCTACTGCTATTCTTGGCCATAGCAGAGAGCTGGATTGGAAGAGGAGCATCTGGGACTAGAACCGGCACCCATATGGGATGCTGGCGTTTCAGGCCAGGGCTTTAACCTGCTGCACCATAGTGCTAGCCCCATAGTTGCGCATTTTTACAAAGAGATGCACAGCTCATTATTATCACATCAGTATACTAACTTCAGTTACAATAAGGATCCTGGCCACTAGAAGAGTTAGGAAGCTCTTTCCAAGCACAGCTCCGTGCAGGCTTGAAGACAACATGAACTTTTGGACTCCATGTCTTGGGCTCCTCCTGTACCACCAGTTGGGCCTCTGAGAGTTTCTCTACACTGGTGAGTAATGCAATGTGCTTTTCTTAAAACAGCAAAGACAAGACTTCAAAATAAGTTTTTTGGGGCCAGCGTTGTGGCATAATAGGCTAAGCCACCTGCAACGTCTGCACCTCTTATTTGAGTGTCCATTTAAGACGCCAATGCTCCACTTCTAATTCAGTTCCCTGCTAATGCTCCTGGAAAGCAATGAAACATGGTCCAAGTACCTGGTTTCTGTTTGACCCAGTCCAGTTGTCAAGGCCATTTGGGAATTGAACTAGTACACTGATCTCTGTGTGTGTGTGTGTGTGTGTGTGGGGTGTGTGTGTGTGTGTGTGTGTGGGTGTGTGTGAGTATGTATGTATCATGGTGCCTTTCAAATAAATAATCTTATTTTAAAAAAAGAATTTTTGCAATACTTTGGGGTTTCCAAAACTGGCAGTGACCTTAAATAAATCCGCACATCTGATTTTCTGCTCCTCCCTCTGTAGGCATCTTCACAGATTTTCTGTTTGTTCACATCACTTCACCTTCTCCTCACCCTGCCTTATAGACATATAGCTTATTATGAGGACTTGTACTTTGTTTAAAGTAGTTCAGAAATGCCACTAATACATTCCTCTTACCAGATCAATGTAAAAATAATCATTGTAATAATGTAGTTGATAATAGTGATCATCTCTGTGCCTGCCATTCTGCCAGACACTTTATTTTTGCTATATCTAACTCCACATGCAAGCAGCTAACAATATTCCCCATTCTACAAGTGACAAAACTCAGAGTAAGTCACAAATCCAACCAATTATTTTGGTAGAATTCAGATTGGCACTCAGCTGCAACTGATTCCGCAACATAAGCTCTTTCACACTGAAGAAGTTTTTCATCAGGAGCTTAAGATGCTGTGGCTACATTCCTCTTCCATGCATTGATGCTTATCATCACACTGTGCGAGAAGGGAGACACGGGACACAGCCTGAAGATGAATCTCTGGAAGTAGAAGCACCGATGTTCTTTGTAAAAGAAAGAACCTTTGAGTACAGAACAGGTAAAGGCAAGAGTTTACCTCTAGAACTTGGGTGAGCACCAAGAGTGAAATCTGGCATCATTCCAGCCAATCCTTGATACAGTTTTAACAATCTGCTCACACTTTCAGGGACCTGCATAGCTTCCACCTCCAGGGGACTTGTTCTGCTGCCAGAGTACAACACTGAATAGCTGTTGTATTCAGCCTGACACCCACAGATATTTAAGAGTCTAATTCAATCGTTAACGTCTTTTCTGTAGACACAAAGGAACTGCAGACTTTTGGCACCTTGGGGTTATCTCATTTGCCTTTGCTATTTAAGTATTCTGGGGACACGAACACACACACACACACACACACATGAAATAGGACAGATTAAGTAAACCTTGTGTACATTCATACCATGTTGATGCTTAAAATACAAGAAACCTTTGTGGGCTCCTGATAGCAACTGAGGAACAACAAATATGTGGGCCTTGGGTTGGTGTCCAACCTCCTCCTGAGCCTGATAGTTGAACAGATGGGCAATGGCTTCAGCAGTTAACAAGCTATCAATCGAACACAAAAAAAGCCAATTTCCTGTCAGTCCAAGGCTTAACAGACCCTCTGTCAAGAACCATGTTGCTGTAAGGGTTTAGGATATAAGCCCAACAGCCAAGCCATCTTTTTCCCACTCTATTTGCCATGGAAGGCAGACTGTGTAGGTGACAGTATAAACTCTGAAATTTTCTGTCTACATCAGGGTGCCTGGCTCGCACAGATCTACAGTGGAACTTTTGTAGACCAACTGAGATTTGTGGGACAGGGGAGACGTGGCATGGAAACCCATTCCATAACCTTTCACCATGCATAAAATTTACTGTGAATGGAATCCCTAAAAGTCCATGTTGGCCTCTGATTTAAAACTATTAAATCTGGTTTCCTGAGAACACCTCCATTATAATAAATACATCACTATGACAACATATGCTAATTACACAATCTCAAAGACCAGAGTGAACAACCTATACATGAAAAATGCATTTGCACAGTGTCCTGGTTCATATGGCCAAGGCTATAGATTTGGGCTGAGTCACAGGTATCTGGTGAACACTTCATGAAGAAGCCAACATCGTGGTGGATGGCCGTGGAAAGCAGGACACTAGCACAGCGATTTCTCACAGTAGACAAAACTGAATCTGTGTTCATTTAGAACATGGCTGGTTCTTCCATTGTGCAGACTTAAAGAGGGGATTTACAGACGTGTGCATGCTTCTCTGATTGACAGGCAGAGAGAATGGTAACCAGATACACATACATTTTCACCTTCACAGTATGTCCTACAGAAATGAGAGAAATACCATGGCTGCCCTATGTACTAATCTATTAAAATGAAAAATGGGATCCTTTTTTATGCCAACTTGAGTTTTTTTCTTAATCTGGACTCATCCTTTCTGCTTTTCTTCCTCCTCTTCTCTCTTCCCACTCTGCTCAGACATTTCAGAATTCCACTAGCCTCAAGCTCCCATGAAGGATATACAGGTCTAACTACAATAGTACCTTCCTCGAAGGAATGATAGATTAAAGCAGTGGCTCAAAATGTCAGCCAGGGTTTTAGGTTCAACCACAGATCCGAGTTTGGATCCTGTCTCTACTGTTATGACTTATCATCTTGGGAAGCCAAGGTCATTTAATTCCTCCAAATGCCCATTAACCAGACCCGTGAAATCCGGGCTTTGAGTGTATTTGTGTGGTTTTCCTACAGATTAAATGAGCTGATGAATGAACCCAACCTGAACAGCAGATACTCAACATATAAAGCTGCAGTTACAGTGACAAATTATTTTAACATAGGCCAAAAGTGGGCAGAGCTGTAAGTGTTGGGCAGAAGAGAAAGTAAAAGAAAACTAAGAGGTGGGAAGGATCAATGTCATAGCATGTGTTGATATACAGGAGAAGGGTCCTGTGGGGACGGCAAATGAGCTCAGGGAAAAGCTAATGTAAAAAATTAAAAAAAAAAAAAAAAGGCCACCCAAATGAGAGAGAACGAGTGAAGGCCATGTATGCAGAACTTGCTATAGGCAGTCAGCCAGCTACCATCACTCGTACCTGCAGAGACTCAAAGACAGGCAGGGGAGGCAGAAACACTCAAAGCGAAAACAAGGGAAGACATGCAGCACGCTCTGACTGGAAGCTGTCTGCACAGGGAAGCAAGAGCAGTCTACCTAAAGTAGGCACCCTGCCTGATTACTTTGGGGAGCATACTTAGCTTTGTCTGCATGATCCTGAGTTGAAGGCTGGCACAAAACTTAGGGAAGCTGGCTTAAGTGACCAAAGTCCTGACCTTTCTGGGTGGAATGCTCCAGTGGCTACCGTTTAACTGTGGGTTAGTTTTTTGCCCAGTACAAAACGGCTATTGTCTCTGTGTATATTCCATCTCTCACTAACAAGATCCCCTAGTCATCAGTGACACAGGTATTCCAGAGCAGTCCATGATGTGATGAAAAAGTAGCAAGTTCAAGGCAACTGACTGACTGCAGAAGAAGGACGCAGCCACACCACAGGCTTCCATATGATACAGACATCACGTTCTCAGATGGCCCTGTGCAGTACAGAAACTGGCTCTCTGTCACCACGGGCCACTGTATAGGATATGCATGAATTAGAGAGGAGAAAAGGTGCTTTGAGGCCCTAAAGAAATAGCCTTTTCTCACAGAACTTCTGCAAGGTGGTAATTTATTCAGTCATCTTTATTTTTTTTAAAGATTTATTTATTTATTTGAAAGTCAGTTACAGAGAGGAGAGGCAGAGAAAGAGAGAAAGAGAAAGAGAGAGAGAGAGAGAGAGAGGTTTTCCATCCGCTGTTTCACTCCACAATTGGCTGCAATGGCCGGAGTTATGCTGATCCGAAGCCAGGAGCTTCCTCTGGGTCTCCCATGTGGGTGCAGGGTCCCAAGGACTTGGGCCATTTTCTACTGCCTTCCCAGGCTATATCAGAGAGCTGGATTGGAAGTGGAGCAGCCAGGACTCAAACTGGGGCCCAAATGAGATGCTGACACTGCAGGCAGTGGCCTTACCTGCTATGCCACAGTACTAGCCCCCATATTCAGTTATCTTTCAACATAATTCTTATTTGGCTCATTTTCTCTCTGATTTCATCTTCCCCAAGGTGGCACTCACTTGTTCTGGGTGAGTAATAAACATGGGGTACAGATAGGAATGTTCAATAAGACAACTGAATAATGGAAAAGACTAGGCTAAAGTAAATTAAAGACAAAAGCTTGCCATTTGTATAAAATTTCTGCTAAAGAGATTACTGATGTTGCCTTTTAGAAAAACAGCAATCAAATCCTCTAGCTCTTCAGATTTGGAGGGCAAATGAGCTGAGATTCCCAAGGCAGAAATACACTGTTCAAAGGGAACAGCCTTAGTCAAAAAACTCATAGTGTGTTTTAGAAACTTCTGCCTGGGGTCCAGTTAGACAAGGTTGAAATTCTGCACTTGCACTCACCAATCAGGAGATTCTAAGTAACCCCTAGGTTTGATTTGGGGAATAAGGCAGATGGAAGTCTAAGGGCTTTAGTTTGATGTCTGCACTTAGTATGCACTCAGGAAACAGAGCCATTATTTTATACAATGGTAGAAAGATGCCCACCCCCACAGCACAGTGGTAGTAAAGACCAGTAAAAATACAGATGAAGCCATGCATGGAACCTAGCACGACAGAGAAACCCATTCCCTTCTCTAAAAGATTCAAAAGGGATTCAGGGTCATTCTCATAGAGCCATGTGCTAATGTGTATAATGATGTGATTGTGTAGAAAGACAGAAACAATCAGAGTAACCAGGCAGTCTCCAAGATGGAAAGGATATAGCCAGAGGTTAATGTGCCGTTAGTCCTCATCCATCACTTGTGCCTGACTAGCATTCATTCCCCTCCTGGCCAAGCACTTGGATATCTTTGGCAAAGAGCTGTTCCTGCAGTCTCAATGCATGTCTCGGCACCTCACACAGCAAGTGGCTTAGGCTGATTCAATTACTTTCAAAGGTAGATTTGGGGGTGCAGGCCAATTGGACCAAGGATAGTCAGCTCCAGATTGTGACTTTAAGGTTTCATGGCTTTGCTATCATCAAGGAAAGGGGGTCCACAGTCAATGCCATCTTCAGTACACCGGGGTCCAGCCAAGCATGAGCCTGTTACACCCAAGAGCTTTCACTTACAAGGCAATGTCGCCCTTGTCCTCACCATCTTTTCCACTTCAGTGAATTGAGATTTCTTTCCTCTACAACGAAGACAACCTGACTGACAGAGTGAGCTTGAGCTGTGTAGAGATAAAAGGAAGAAGATACTGGGCATGGTCTCACGCCTTCAGAGAGCTCATTTCTTGTTCCAGAAGCAGACAAAACCTACCACTTCCAAAATAAAATATAAAGTACCTAAGTTGAGATGGGCTTAACAAGGTGAAGGAAGGGAGGGCTGAGAGGGAGAATGTGGGGTCATCCCTTCCTCTGGATGACGCAGCACAATAAGTAGGACAATGGCACCAAATCATTTCCATGTCCCCAATCCTGAAAGCTGGCACTCAGTGACATGGCATGACCATGGGAACTTGGCAGCATGATGTGAGAGTTCTTGAGACAGGGACACTACACTCAACTTCCCAAGCATGCACCATGGAATCACAAAGGTCCTAAGACAGATGGAAAAATGAGACAGGAGGGGCAGACTCAAAGAGGGATGGCTTTTAAGATGGAAGGCAGGGGTCAAGGAAGGCAGGTGGCCTGTAGGAGATAGAAAAGTCAAGGGGAAGAGATTCTCCCCTCGGCATCCAGAATCAACATAGCCCTGCCAATACCCTAATTGCAGCTCAGGGAGACAGATCCATTTGGAATTCTGGCCTCCAGAAGAGTAAAAGGAACTTATTCATGTTTAGAAGCCATGGGCATGTTCCAGGAGCAAAAGGAAACTAATTTAGACAGTCAAGATGAGCTCTTTAGGGGAGGGGGCACTGACACTGAGAGCAAACAGGAAAGGAGGAGGCAGCTCCACCAGGGTCTGAAGATGACGATAGAAGGAGAGGAAACCACATATGCAAGACCCCGGAGTAGGCAATAGCTTGATGTGTTCTAACAGCAGCAAGCATGGCACTGGGCCTGGAATGGATATTGCTTGAGGTTTGAAGAATTTAAAGAACTTCAACTGTTCCTTTTAACTTTGCAGGAATCAAAGCACTCTATAATGGTTTCCTTGATTGTATTTATTTCTCTTACGTATTTTCATTTTATTTGAAAGGCAGAGACGGGTAGAGTTCTTCCTTTATTTTATACTCATGGAGGAATCAGACCAAAACTCATCCATATATTCATAACTAGCATAAAGGATTCCACCAAGTGCAATTTTCCTTTATATTTCTTATCTATATTCCTAACATGCATTCCAGATTTTCTGGATGTGTCCTATTCTCATGTATTCTGTCCTGTCGTACTTGGCAGTATATTGTAGGGACTAAATAAACACTTGCTGAATAAACACACTCGGGTTTTTGGTTGGGAATACACTGCCTTATGCTCTACACACCCATGACCTGCTCTCCTAAATCATCCTAGAAATGATGGAAATGTTTTAGTTGCATAGAGGAGGAAGGTGACACACCCAGGGGTGAGCATTGCCCCAACTGTACTACCTGCCTGATCAGAAGCTTGGGGCTGGGGAGGGGAATGGGAGGAGCCATGATTTTTGCCCTTAAAGATTATCAAGACATCAAGTGAACTGGAGGTTACTAATTATGGCAACTGTCTCATGCTGGGAAGAAAATATTTTTTTTTTTTTTGGAGGGGAGCTGTCCTCCATACCACTTGAGCTGCTGAGCAAGCAAAAAGCAATATGAATAAACTCTACAGGCACAAGAAGTCCAGAGCTTCCTTTTAAATCAGTTCCTAGAAGGCAAGGAACCAGTATATCATAGTGAGACAATCATTTATAATGGGACCATTATTAGGAGCCAAGATATAAAAATCGTACAGGAAACAGCCTTATAAGCAGATTCAGTGCGTGGCTGATTAACCTCCTCATCCGACTGGAGGCTGGGTGGCTCAGGGGAGTGGTAATGAGATGTGGAAGTCATTTGCCTCGAGGTCACAGGTTTAAAGCTGGACATGTTAGAAAGGGCCTAATTGCTACTCATGGGTGACTCGGCAGCACACCTTGTGGGCTTAGAAACAAAGACAGGGGTTCGAGTCCTGGTACTGCCTTCAACTAGCCGGTCACACATCCTCCTGCAGTCTCAGTGTCATGATTTATAAGTCCTTGTCAAGGCTGATTTTCTCTTGTTAGGTGAATACAAGAGCAATTCAAAAAGCTGACAGAAAATGAAACTGAAAGGTAAGTTGATGTTGGTCCGAAACACTTTTTTATTTTTATGCCAAGTTTTTCTTTAGGATCTATTTTCTATGAAATTCCCACAGACTCTTCATTTTTTCCAGATTTCAAAGTATTTTCTACCAAAATAAATATCTCTTAAATCCATTTTCCATGAACTTTTTGAAGTACCCTTGTGTTCCTAATATCAAATGCACATATTTGTTCAATGATGACTATTGGTCTTTTCTAAGAACGTGTGGCTTCCTTTGACTTCTTGGACATTAAAGTGGCAAGTAGTACCATGACCATTTTAAGTGTCACTAGGTTTGGGTCTTCTTGGTCTGGATGGCTGCACTGCACCGGAGCTTCTCTGTGATTTTAGGCACACATGAAGAAGACTACCCCTGGGGTTACTGGGCTCCAGTTAACAGTGGCATGGCTAACAGTAGCACTGACACTGACTTTTTAAGTCTTTCACCTCCAGTAACTGATTCAATCAGATCCATCATGTATCAGGTACTGGGGACGATGACAAGAGAAAATCCCAGGGTCTTCACACCTGCAAGCACAGGTGTCATAGTGTGAACCCAGAGAACAGGATTCCAAAATTTGGTTCTACCCAATGCTAAAAGTCTGGGAAAGAGGTGATTTTCCTTCGTCTGTGCTGAGTGCGCCTCTGTGGGGGCATCTTGAGTGTGGACTCAGAGGTCAGCAGAAACACAGCAATCACTGGCCGAGGCGGGAGCTGCATGGACGTGGGGACTTAGCGTATCCTGGTGGTGGGGGCATCCTGGATACAAAGAGGGTGAGAACCGTGGGTCTGAGCAGCACTGAGTGGAACCAGCCACACACATAATGGGGCTCAACAAATCAACAGATTGACTGAGGTCAAAGAGGAAGGAACAATTAGAGGGGATTTGAGCACCTAAGAGAGTCAACATGAAGGGACACAAAGCTAAACTCAGAGATAGAAGCCCTGGGTTCAAATCCCACGCCTGACTCCTATCCCCTCCCTCAACCCTCCACAGCTCTTTCTTCTTCCCCACCCATTTCCTTAACCTTGAAAGAGGTCACTCCCTTCTTGACAACAGGAGATACTGCAGAATAGATATCCACAAATTGTCTCTTAATCAGGACTTTTGATTCAGGGGTTCATAAAAAGACCACATATTTAATGCATTTTTCTTTCTGGTTAAGCGGAGAGAAATTGTCAATTATTCCGAGAGTAGCAGGTCTCCTACATGGTATGCCATGCCCGATTTACTAGGGAATTAACTGTGAACTCTCCAGTAAACGGCTGTTGTTTTTCCTCGCCCCTCCACCACTCCTTTGCACTTTCCAAGGACTTAAGAGTCTTGATGAAAAGGGAGGAGTAATCCTTTCTCTGGTGTCTGCGATCAAGACCTATCGCGTAACCCACCGCTCTAACACCGCCTGTGCAGAGAAATAATTTCGGCTCCCCGTTAATTTGAGTATTGAACTGAGATTCTGCAGCTGCTTTCTGCCAAGCCTGAAAGCAGAAATTAATTTCAATGACCCAGGCGAGTGGAGGGGAGCTCTGTCAGGTAATTAGTCTTCGTCTTTTGCTACTCAGGGTCTATCACTGTGTTAATCCATACATAAACCCAGGCATTCCCTGAGTCGCTCACAATCTGCGGGGCCGTTTAACTACCTCTTGCTTGGGTTCACTGCCAGCCCGGACGTCTGCGGGGAGGGGATGAAGGCCCCCTTTCATGTCTGCCTGCATTCCACCTGTGTGGGGCCAACGGAACGCATGCGGCTGATTTACATGCTCTTTCCCTGTTTGATTGAGCCTGCCTTTGATTAAGTAGAGCTTGTGGTAGGCGAGGGCTGGGGGAGGGGCTCCTGCTCCTGCGGCTTTCTGACTTGCCAGTTTATTAATGAAAGAGCCTCTGATATTGATAGTCCCGACACTACAAGCACAGCAATTAAAGGGGGTGTCCTTTCCAGGCTTCTAATTAAAAATGGGCCTTTTCCTACCCCGGATGGGTGCTATTGTCATATTTGCATTCAGTTCTGAACGTGCGGGGGGGGGCTCCTCAGCCTGTTCCTGGTAGGCAAACCTTTGGAGGAAAACTTAGACCTGCAAAAAAAAAAAAAATCCTCACAGTGCGCAAGGCTTTGTTCTCCACAGGAGTTACTCAGAAATCCAAGGAAAAGGATGGTTTGGGGAGCAAGAACCTGTTCACAACCGCCCACCTCCCCCGCCCCCCAACCCTTTCTGGGATTCCTATATTTCATGCATTTTACCGCTGTGCTGTGTGTGTGTGTGTGTGTGTGTGCACATGCGGCTTGCACTGGGCAGAGGGGTGCAGGGGAGGTTACAAATTAAACGCAGACTCTGGTCTTTTTCTGAGCAGCTACAAAAGGACTCAGCCCTCTCCAGTGTATCCCACCCGACAGCTCCATTTCACAGGTGAGAAAATGGATGCTCGGCTCAGAGGAGTTGTGCAGCCCACTGTCTCAGGGGACAGCCCTGGTCTTGTCCTGCGCCTGCCTGCTAGTTCTGGATGTTAGAACTCTAGCCCAGTGCTACGGACTTGGTGGTGATGCAAAATTTCAAGGGAAGTCAGACTTCTGGACTTTTATATGAAGCCTTCCTTCAATGATTAAAAAAAAAAAAAAAAAACTCTGTAGGCACTAAAACCAGACATTTACTACTTGAGTGAGGAGCACACATTTTAAACATCAGAGGTGCTTTTCTACCTTCCTCCTTAGACTCGTTAAGATCCACTTTTCTCAATATTAATACTTTGTCTTTTTAGCTCGAGTTCCTCACTGAAAGCAAGCCAGCTTTGCTGTGTCATTCTCCTGTCCAGACAGTCGCAGGTTTATGTATTTTATTTATTTATGTTTATTTATGTTTCATCTATTTATTTCTGTTTATGTTACAGGCACAACAGTGGGAAGACAGAGACAAATCTTTGATTCTCTGGTTCACTCCCCAAATGCCCTCAATAGACATGGCTGAGCCAGGTAAAAGCTAGGAGCTGGGAAACCCATTTGGGTCTCCAATGTGAGTGGCAAAAATCCAAGTAATTAAGCCATCCCCTGCTGCCTCCTAGGGTACATGTCAGCAAGAAGCTGGATCAGAAGCAGAGGCAGGATCTAAACCCAGGCATTCCAATATGGGGTGAAAGCATCTCCACTAAGATTGCAAATACTGTGCCAAGTACCTGTCCGAGCAAGCCCAATTTAAAAAGCAAACAGACGATGACCCCCAATGTCTTCCTCCAAGGTCCCCGCCACCCTTGTTGTCATCAGATACCCATCAGATGCCACCCTAGTTGTCATCAGATGTGGAGGAGACTTCAGCCTCATGAAGCCCAGCCAAGCCACGCCCTGTGGCACTTAGAACTCAAGTTTGGAAACGGAAGGAAAAACACTGTGTCTTCATAGGAGCCACAGCTATGGAATTTCCTAATGATTCCTGATTTTACTGAGAATCTCTAGAAATGATGACATCTCCTCCTGACAGAGAGAGAGATAGAGACTTGCCAAACAGACAAGCCGCAGGTTCTAATGTTTTATTGGCATCAGAAGTGCTCTATCTTGCCGCTAACCCTGCCCCCCCCGCCTCTCCAGCCTGCTGCTGGGGGCAGCGTAGGAAAGTCAGAGCATCCGTCTGGTGTCAAGTGGCACTGCTATCCACCTTCTATGAGAGTCAATTGCAATTAACAGGGCCATTCAGAGAAGGCAGGTACAGGGCAGACAAAGGGAGCACAGACAGATCTTATCAGAGCACAAGGCCAACAGGCTGGGCCTTTCAGATGCTGCCTGCACAGGGGAAAAAAGGTGGAGGCAGAAGTGGTGGATGGAGAAGAGAAACACCCCTGGCAGCGGGGGAGGAAGCGTCTGCGAGTGACAAGAGCAAAGGCATGGTGCAGACAGGTTTGAGAGAGGCACACAGATGTCCCCGGCCCATCTCTAGGGTTCAGATTCTGTTTCTGCCCCTGGCCACCCCACCCCACCAGGCCTTGGCTGGCTTCTCTGCCAAATGGGAGTACTTACAGCGCCTGCCTCTTTTTAAAACAGCCATGTGGCAGAGGACTGAGTGGCTGCAGGAGGAAAGCAGAGCTCCGCGGCCTGCGGGGAAGAGCTGTGCAGACCCGGGGCGGGACTGCGTCACTCAGCACCCGGCCCAGGGCGGAGACCAAGCACTGCACAGAGATAGGTGAGCAGGCACCAACTCACCCCTGTCCCCCTGGGACAACCTGGTAATGGGGGTCCTCTCTTACCCCCCAACTCAGAGGAGGAGCAGGCCCCTCAGGGAGGTAAACTCCCATTCAGGGAGGTGTGTCCTGGATGCTGTCACCCAAGAAAGGGGCCTTAAAGGAGGGAAAGGGGGCACACACAGTGCAGCAGACCTGTGGCCTATATCACAGGTCACCCACATGTGGCTCCACCTGGATACCTCACCCCTCGAAGTTGCTTAAATTTCTTTCAAACAGCAGGCCTTGAGCATCTATGAGGCGCTTAATTCTATTGTGTCTACCTGAGAGCAGTGAGTAAAACCACCTCTCCAGCCCCTTCTTTTGCTTCTTGCTCGGAGAATGAGGGTGGGGACTGGGCGAGCATGGTGCAAAGACGACCTGATTCTAAGCACCAAGTGCGCCCCTGCTGAGGAGGTGAGGAAGTGACTGTGGACCAGCTGTTACGTACCTTCCTGAGCATCTTCTCCAAGCATGGGCAGGAGCACCTGTGACCCTGTGTCACTGAGAACATGAGGAAGAGTTCAGGAAGTGTGACGGGCACTCCCTGTGTGCTCTTTGGTTACCTGTGCGTTTTGGTTCAGATTCCTTGGTGTGCTGTGGATATGCAAGGCTGTGTAGCCTGAACCACTAGCCTGTCTCAAATGGGAACATGCATCTGTCTAGAAGTGGACAAAAGGAAGATGTCTGAGCCACACCAACCTCTATGGGCAGATCAGGTATTTTATCCAAAGCACAGGTCCTCAGATTACTCTGATGGATCCTTGAAATGATCTGGCTCAAGCTGGCACCAGACAGAAATTATCTGGAGTGGCTAAATGATCTGGAGCTTGAGTCCTTGATCAGCTTCCAAAAACGAACGCATGGCTCAGGAGTAGGTGGGGAGATGTCACCCAGTTTTACTTTCCTCACTAAGCCATCTGTTTTAGTTGTTTTAGTCCACATACCTAGGTAGCTGAGCACTTGTCTTTCAGGCCATCTGAGAATTCTAGAAGCTCGAGGTCAAAATGAGTCCATTTGTTAAAATTTTAAAAGTTCCCATGGAGCAAGAGAAAAGACTGTCATTGCCAGTAAGCAAAAGGACTGAGGGTGGTGGGTGAGGAGGGCAGCCACTCTGTTTTCTTTATCAGGAACAATAATAATAATAATGAATAGCACAACCTCATTAAGTCAGTAGCAGTTGATTCAGAAGACTGCAGCAACGATTCCCCAGCCACTGGCTGCCTCCTTTGTAATCTTTACACTGAAAGTCTGATGATTAAATATATTAATATATCAGAGAGGTTCGGCTGGATGTATTCAAAGGCATGAGATGTCCGCACAGCTCTCAGGTGTCAAGCAGAGAAACTGACACACAGTAGTTTCTCAGTAGCTTCCAGCGCCTGTCCTTGCATTGCTGGGGTATCCAGAAGCTTCACCTGGCCCACAGCACAGTCTGTCGTTATCAATAATGACACGGATTCCATTTTAATGTACTACCTTTTATTAAGTTGAAACCACAAACTCTTAATAGCAAGGGCCTTTCTGAGGCACTTTAATCACTACTGGAGTGCAGATGTCTCTCCTAGGAAAACACAGGCAACGTGTGGTGGCAAGGATGGGGATGGCCCTGCACCTTCGTGCTGGCAGAATGAGTTACGGAATTCTATTACCAATGCAATTAGGCAGCAGCTTCCTCTTACTTCCCAGGCTCCGTACGGTGAGAGGCAGTTTCCTCGGTGACCTGGTTTCCAAAGTATCTTTTCCTCATGAAGTGGCCACCACTGACGCTGGCATGGAAAGGCCAGCTTCCGATTTGGGGCATACTGTCCACGCACTGTTTTTCCAGCCTGGACCCATCCAGCCTGGATGGGTAACCGGTGTGCTTCACGGGGATGAAGAAGTGGGTGCTTGTGGATGGGGAGGACGTGGATGATGTCTCAGGTGCCAGCTAAACGCTGAGCACTGCTCAAGGAGAACACATTAGGGTTTCTGCCACTCCTCCTACATAAGCTACTGCAGAGGTTCAGTTTCAAAGGACATGGTCAAGATCCAGGTCCACTTGGCATCCTTCTGCAGGCTTCTTGAGCAATAGATCAAAAGCACAAAAGCACAGCCAGGCACCGGTCCAATAGGCAAAACACTTGAGCTTCAGAATGCAAGTGTTGCACACACACTTAATTCCAGTAGCTCAGAACCAGACTGCAGCAGATTCTGAGTCAGACAGCACTCAACTGCAGATGTGCAGTGGGAAGAGCTCCAGTTCTGGCATCATATAGGTTTAGGTTTGAAATGTCACTTCTGAGTACGGTGACACTGGATGTCACCCATCTACCAGGTGGGGAAATGTGTACTGCAGGATGCCACAGGAGTATCTGGGCCTTCTCAGATGGAACCCCGAGCCTGAGGCTGGCACGCCGTGGAAGCTTTACACAACCAACTTCCTAGGCTGTCTCCTGCCCTTGGCTCCTCCCCTGCCCACCTCTGCCAGTTCAGCACGTTTCTCAATCCCACCTGCACACAGGCACACACTGTACATTCCAGTCCAGCGCTGGACCTCCGCACTACTGCCCCTCAGCCTTGTTCTCTGTGGATGGTGTTTGTAAGTGGGGGCTCTCAGCCTTATGATGTCCCTAGACCTTTTAACACCTCCATGTGCTCTCCTAATCAAGCAGGATTTGTGGTACATGGAGGAGTGGTACTTAAACAAGTTATTAGAGAGATTTTTTTAAAAGATTTATTTATTTATTTGAAAGGCAGAGTTAGAGAGAGAGAGAGAGAGAGAGGTCCTTTATCTGCTGGTCCGCTTTCCAAGTGGCTGTAATGACCAGAGCTGGGCTGATCTGAAGCCACGAGCTTCTTCTAGGTCTCCCACATGGTTGCAGGGGCCCAAGAACATGGCCATCTTCTACTGCTTTCCTAAGCCATAGTAGAGAGCTGTATCAGAAATAGAGCAGCCAGGACTCAAACTGGGGCCCATATGGGATGCTGGCACTGCAGGCAGTGGCTTTACCTTCTATGTCACAGCAGCAGCCCCTACAAAGATTTTTTAAAAACAAGTGGGGGGGGGGGGGCCTGTGGCACAGCAGGGCTAACGCCGTGGCCTGAAGCGCCAGCATCCCATATGGGCACTGGTTTGAGACCCAGCTGCTCCACTTCCAGTATAGCTCTCTGCTGGGGCCTGGGAAAGCAGTAGAAGATGGCCCAGGTCCTTGGGCCCCTGTGCCCTCATGGGAGACCTGGAAGAAGCTCCTGGTTTCAGATCGGCACATCTCCGGCCATTGCGGCCAACTGGGGAGTGAACCAGTAAATGGAAGACCTCTCCCTCCTTCCCTCCCTTCCTCTCTCTCTCTCTCTCTCTCTGCCTTCCCTCTTTCTCTGTGTTACTCTGACTTTCAAATAAATAAACCTTAAATAGGCAGGGGTGGGTGTTCAGTGCAGTGGCTAAGATGCATCTTTAGACACCTGCATATCATACCAGAGTGTCTGGGTTCAATTCTTGGCTCCTTTCCTGAGTCCAGGTTCTGGATCACTGGCACCCCAAGAGGCCAGATGTGACAGCTCAAGTGGGTCCCCGTCACCCATGCAGCAGACGTACACAGAGTTCCAGGCTCCTGGCTTCATGCCAGCCAAGGCCCAGGTGTACATGTTACTTGGGGAGTGAATCAGTGGAAGGACATCTTCCGTGTTTGTCTGACTGTGTATCTCTCTATTCCCTGCCTTTCAAATAAACAAACAAAAGTAGAAGAAATCATTTCCAAATTTGAGTATTTTAATATCTAGTTTAACCAAGATATTTGTTGTACACTGAACTCACTGCATGCTCATAGCTGGCAACTACTGATGGCAGGCCTGCTCCCTGGACACTTCTATTTTAAAGTAAGCATCTCAAAGGCCCAAAAAGTCAATCTCTAATGGTAGAAATTTTTCTCCCCCTTGTGCCATCAACTGAAAAAATAAATAAATAAAAGGTCTGTGGTGCAGAAGGAAACAGCTGTGTCTCTAGCCAGAGCCTTCTGTGGGCTCAGGAGCATTCCTGGATAGGTGCAGCCCAGGGCAGAACCCCGAGGGCTGCCTGTCAGTTGGTCTGGTGGCTGCCTCCTTGCAGCCTCGGCAGGGTCAGACTACTAAGAGCACACATGACCCTCTGGCCAGCAGAGCTAGGGCTCTTCTCAGCAAAGAGAAACTGCAAAGGAAATAGAAACCTGCTCGGGACGATCCCTCTCCTGCCCCCACTGGGTGACCTGCATGTGAGTGGGGAGAGAAACGCATTCCAGCCCCCACTGGCTGCACTTGACAGCACGGTCCGGGTGGCATGGCACACGCCAGGCCCTGCCGAGGCTCTCCTTATGAATCATACATAAAGTAGAGAAGAGAGAGGCCTGCCAGCTCAGCTTCACACTCCACAGCAAAGCACAGAAGTACACAGGAGGTAGCCTAAGTTGCCTTCTTGTTGCAGGCGTGGCAGCAGCCTGTTTATGAGAGGCAGGGGACCTGCCAGTGCTCACGTTTGTCAGGAAGCCTGTGTCACCATGTGTGTCCTGGCAAACACGGGAAGGACCCAGCTCAGGTCCCATGCCCAAGCTTTTGTTCGAAAGCTGCATGCTGTGCAGTCCTTTGCGTCGCCTGGAAGAGGGAAAGGGCTGGGGAACGAGTGGAGAATGAGCCTCTGGACGCCAAGCACCCCTGAGTTCAGATCCCTTTGCAGTTTGTGATGAGCGAAGGGACCCATGGGAGGCACCTGTGCTCTGTAAGTCTTACTTTCCTCATCTGTAAAATGAGCATAACACATGTTGGATCCCTCCCACATGTTTCTTCCTTTCCCTTACACTTTTCTGAAGGGTGATTAGGTCAAAATATGGCCAGTGAGAGAGCGAGCAAGGTCTTTCAGTGGTGTTCTGAGAGCTTCAAGAGGCTTTATCTACGTGGCCCTCATCTCCCCTCCCTTGTGTGACCTACTCCCATCCTTCAAAAAATAGCACCTTCAGCCCAAGAAGTAGAAAACCCCTAAGAGTGGACTGAAGGACAGAGGTTGCAGAACAGCCCTATACAGACGCCAACAATGAGAGAATGCCCACCTGTTATGTGTCAAGTACTGTGCTAAATGCTTTAGTGAATTAACACCATGTATTCCTCACTGCCCTCTTGAACATCCTAGGGAGAGAAAACTTGCAGTCCCGCTGATGGGCAAAGAACAGAGCTCAGCTCAGAATGATGAAATAGCTGTGAGTTGTCACTGACAATGAGTGAACCGGAAGTCTCACCAGGTCTCTCTGACTCTTGGCTCCAAGCTTCTATCTACTTAACTGACTGCAAATTAACTCTCCAGCCCCTGGATTTCACAGACCAATCATACGCTTAAAAAGAAAAATCTGAACATCTCAAATAAGGTTATCAGTTCTGTATTTTTCATTTTTCCAAGTAAGGAGATTTAAAATATCTATCAGCTGCAATCAGTGTCATTGCATAAAACATAGAATGTTTGAAAACCATAAGCACACATAAGGCAGGAGTGCAGATTAACACACCGCAAATACAGCCCACCTTTAATCATCATGATTTTATAAAATAAAGAATATTTTAACAGTGAAAACGCTTGTTGGAAATAATCCCCAAATAAAAGCCCATCCTTTAAATAAACCTAATTTAGCTTTATAGGAAACACCACATCCTCTGTCCTACATTCTCTGCAGTTTGCCATGGTTGGATTATCCTGATGAGCATCAGTCCGGTGTGTGATCTGGGCACTGCCACAGTGGCAGCACAGTTTCTCCCTTAGCAACTATGCACACAAATGATATCTGGCTCACGGGCGCCAGGAGCTCCATACCAAGACCCCTGGGTTAGGGAGGGGTGGGTGACATGCCAATGACTGGCAAGTGCTTCATGTCCAAATGGTGGTTAGTGTGCAGCCTGGTCCTCACATTCATCCTGGCGATGTTTGTTGAGCATTTTCCTGAGTTCTGATCCCAAATAGGACCTAAGAATACAACTCTGGCTGGCATGTGAAACATCAGCCCCAGGACTGGTGATTTGCTAGGAGGACTCACAGAACTGCCACACTCTTCTCATAGCATATGGATACAAAGAGGAAAACAGGGAAGAGGCACAAAGCATTAAGTGAGGCAACCAGGTGCGAGCTTCCAACAGTTCTCTCCCGGGTCGTGCAGGATGCCCTTGATCACTGGCCCAGCAACGAATCATGACAGCACGGGTGCAATGGTGACTACCAGGGACGCTCACCACATACCTGGTGTCTCGGGGTTGAACCAGGGCCTGGTCACATAGGCAAGCTCTGCTTAGCACGCACCGAAACTCTGGCCTCTCAGAACGAAAGGGGGTATTTGATGTGAATCACATTGTACGGTCTAGGCAGAGTGAACCCCTCGGCAGTTCTGGGAATCACGACAATCCTCCTGCTCGCCCCCAGGCAGTAGCCAAGAACCAAGTCTGTAAGCAAGTCAGGCTGCTGCAATTCTTGCCTGCACAACAACAGTGAACAAAATGAGACTCTGGCCTTATGAAAATGGCAGCTTGGGAGCCGGAATTGTGATGTAGCAGCTAAGTTGCTGCCTGCAGTGCCGGCATCATATATGGGCACTAGTTTGAGTCCTAGCTGCTGTACTTCCGATCCAGCTCTCTGCTATGGCCTGGGAAAGCAGTGGAAGATGGTCCAAGTCCTTAGACCTTGCACCTACGTGGGAAACCCGGAAGAGGCTCTGGGCTCCTGGCTTTAGATCAGCACAGCTCCGGCTGCTGCAGCCATTTAGGGAGTGAACCAGCAGAGGGAAGACCTCTCTCTGACTCTCTTTGCCTCTCAAATAAATAAAACTTTACAAAAAATAAACATGACAGTCTGGTGAGGGAGAGACAATCATCATGCCTCATCATTCATTCATTGTGAAGACTCTCCAGTGGCTAGTCACTGGTGACAAAGGTGATAGACAATAACGAGGAAGAATAAAAGCCCTGCCTTCATGGAGTTCATAGTCTAGCGAGAGGAAGAGAAAGACGGAGTAAGCACTAAGGAGAAACTTGACGATAGGGACGTAAAGTGAGGCGCAGCTATCTGAGGGGTGTAGGAGGAAAATCAACTGGGTCCAGGCAGCCAGGGAACTCCCTCCAGAAGAAGTCATGATCCAGCTGAGTCCTAAAGGGAAAGTTACAGCAGGAGGGCAAGATACTCCAGGCAGAGACAACAGACTGGGCGAAGGCCCTGCTGCAGGAAGCATGGCACCGACCAGGTCCCAGGAAAAGCAAGCAAGCTGCAGAGACTGGCATGAGCCTTGGCACACGCATTATGCTCTCTTATTCCAAGGGCTAGATAGTTAAGGGATTACACAGTGAAAGGCAAACAGCACAATGGCAAGATCAGATTTCCGTTTGCTAGACAGGACGTTAGCTTCCGCCTGAAGGATTTCAAGAGAAAGGCAGCAGAGATGCTGCGGAGAACTCACACTGCTGACACTGCTATATACAGCACCAGCTCTGGGATTCTGCTGTCCAGTGTGTGCAGGGAGACCAAGGAAGGCAAAACCTCATCAGAGTTTCCTGAACCCCATCCTTTCTGGAGGGGGGAAAAAAAAAAAGACCCAAGGGAATAAGTCTTCCTGTATTTAAGAGTCTTTCAAATGGCACAAGGACCCCAGTACGAAAAGTCCAACATGGGAAACCAAGCAGTAGTGCCCTTTGAAAAGTTTTAATTTTATTTCAACTTTGCTAAATCTACTTATATTCACATTTTGAAATATGTATGCACGATAAAACACTGCAGTTATGGTCTATTGGGTTAAAAATCTACTTTTTGGAACAGGTTCAAGGGAATCCTTATATAAAAGTCCTCAGAATGGAAAGTAATTCTGCAGATGAAGTAGAATGGAAACATCTCCTAAATACGCCCCTTGTGAGATAAATGCACAACGAGGAGAGGTCTGGAACCATCTCCAATGGGAGCGTCATAGCAGCCAGACTCCTCAGCCGTCACGGAACCAGCTGAAAGGCCAGCGCCTGGCCAGTCCATGGCACCAACGTTCATGCTTTTCCAAGGGTCTCTCTTCTTCCTTTCACAATTCACTTGAAACCAAGAACTCAACCCTCCATTTCAAACAGTGAAATTCCATTCCCGCACGCCGCTCGCAAAAGCATGGGGCAGCTGCAGTGTTTACTTTGCAAAGTTCCATACCAGAGAGAGAGACAGAGGGAAAAAAAAGACACAAAAACAAAACTCTGGAATAAATCCACCAACAAACATCTCCATGCTTGCGCTGTGCGATTATCCTTGTTGGGGAAGGCACGCAGATGAGGAGGAAATGGCCTTCTTCTGCTCAGAAAGCTGGCAATCCTGGACGGGGGGAGTGCTTCTCCACTCGCTGTGTGGCATGATCACCTGGGGAGGCAGACAGACGTGCAGCTGGCCCAAGTGTAGGAGGAGGGACTCCCAGGGATTGGCAATCTCTAAGTCAGGCCAACGGAAGGGCTGCTGACTGGGCTGAGAATCACAGCCACCGAGCTGGAAACATTAGCGCCAACAGATCTGCTGGGAGGAGGGGCCTTGGGCACAGTGAGACGAGAGGCTTATTTCGGCGCACCTTCTACCCCAGCTGGCAGGACCACTGCTCCGGCATCTGCCCCTTGCTTTTTCACCTTCAGCAAAGCAGAGGAACCCTGTGTGTGGAGGACAACCACTGACTGTCCCTCAGGGACTTCCTGTGTCTTCCTCAGCTTAGACAAATGCCATTTCACCAGGCCCTGGGCCCCAGGCCTCATGTCAGCCATGCCACCTCCTAGGACACACTCCAGTTGGTTATTAGCCTTTTTTTAAATTTTTATTTTATTTGAGAGGAGACACAGAGTTAGACACAGAAAGAGTTCCTGTCCCCAAATGCCTGCTATGACTTTGGCAGAGTAATTTTGGACTATGCCCACCCTGGGGGCCTGGAGTGCTATCCAGGTCCCTGACTTGTGTACTAGGAACCCAATTACTTGAGCCATTACCCGTTGCCTTCCAGGATCTGCATTAGCAGGAAGATGGAGTCAGGAGCAGAGCCAGGTATCAAACCTCAGTGCTCTCATGTGGAATCTGAGTGTCTTCACGGAGATGCTAATCGCAAACCTAAATGCCTATTCCTGTCATCTTAACTAAACACACACGGAGTCTGACCTGAACATTTCATGGTGATTAACGCTGTCATAGGCTGCACCAATCTTGTCAGAGCCCAAAATGATCTGGAATCACCACTGCCGTGGTTTGAAGTTGTGTCCCCACACTGACATGGGGCTCCTCTTTGATGGGATGAGTGGGATTTTCACAGGACCAGGTTAGTTCCTGGATCACAGGGTGTTAGGCAAGAGTGAGCATGGCCCCTCCCCATTCTCCTTCTTGCTCACACACTCCCTTTCCCTTCACTGCTGTGCTGTGACAGCCAGATGGTACAGCCATGCTGCCAGCCACAGAGCCGTAGGGACTTCTTTTCACTACCCATTTACCAGTACTGGGCATTCTGTGACTGCAACATGAAATGGACTAGGACAGCTGCAGACCTAACCTCGCAACTTTTATGACTGTTTGTCTAGGAACTTTTTCAAAAATGAAATAGAGTGTGATGTCACTCACACTGTGGCTTAGAGATGCCCCCTTTCCTCTTTAAAATTTTGGAATTCAGGGGGCCAGTGTTGTGGCTCAGTAGATTAAGCTGCTGCCTGCAACAACTGCATCCCCTACTGGAGCTCTGCTATGACTCTGGGCTGCTTCTCCGCTTCTCACCCAACTACCTGTTAATGTGCCCGGGAAGGCAGCAGATGACGGCCTGCCACTCATGTGGGACACCAGGAATGGAGTTCCTGCCTCCTGGCTTTGGCTTGACGCAGCCCTGGCCAGTGAGGAGTGAACAAGCAGACCGAAGATTCTTTCTCTACCTTTCAAGTAAATAAATAAATAAATCTTTAAAACATTTAAGAATTCGTGTGTTTACTTATATATTCCAGGATTTCCCTGTGATCAGCATTAAGGTTATTTAATGTTTGTCCCTGTGAACTACTCCTCTCCCACCACTGGCCCACATTCACCCTCTTCTGAATGTACATGAGTCCTGTTTCGCTCCTTCTTCTGTTCCTTTATCTGTGATTTACTACGATTTCCTACAGAAGACTTGAGGTCCCACTGACAGCCTTACGCTGACATCTCAGGAATTACTCCAAGAGCTGCATAACCACAGAATGCTAACATTTAAAGGGGTCTTGTGGAGCTGCCAAGGCAAACCCCTCAGTGTGAATGTAAAGTAACTAGGATGCAGAGACAGCTCAGGTCAATCTGAGCTCCCCAAACCCGGAGCTGAGCCAAAGAAAGAACGCAGGTGTTCTCTCTGGCTGAGCGGTTGTTGATAGCAAGTAGGCCTGGGGTTATCCCCTGGGACAGGCATAATAGTAAATATATCCAGGAAATAGTGGTCTAAACGGGCCACTACATTATAAAAGAGGGAACAGTGTCACTGAGATATAAGAAATCATAGGAGCATGAAGGACAGAACAAAACAAGCAAAATGACAAAAATAAAAATAGACGTACAGTGCACAATGAGGAGATTACATCAACAGGACAAAGGGCCTGGGCACTGGGCCTAGCAGTTGTGCCAACAGCTGGGATACTGCATCAGAATACATGGGGTTCAAGTTCCAGCTCCATGCCTGGTTCCAGCTTGTGCTGCTGTGTACCCTTGGGGGAGATGGCAGGTAACGGTTCAAGTGGTTCGGCCCCGCCACCAATATGGGAGACATGGATTGGATTCCTGGCTTGCAGCACCAGCCTTGAGCAAGCCAAGCAGGCCAGCAAATAAGAGCTCTGTTTCTTTCTTCCTTTCTCTCTCTCCCTCTTTCAAAAGAATAAAATAAATAAATATTTTTTACGGACGAAAGAAAATATTCAGGAAAGAAATCTATACCTGTATTAAAACTGTATAGACCAAAATAAAAGCACATAGGAGCCAACAAAAAGATTTCTCAACAGCCACAAGTAGAACAATCTGAAAAACAAAATTAACAAAATAAGGGGCCAGCACTGTGGCACAGCAGGCCAGGCCTTTGCCTGTGGTGCTGGCATGCAATATGGGCACAGGTTCATGTCCTGGCTGCTCCTCTTCTGATCCAGCTCTCTGCTATGGCCTCGGAAAGCAGTGGAGGATGCACCAGTGCCTGGGCCCCTGCACCCACGTGCGAGACCTGGAGGAAGCTCCAGTCATTGCGGACATTTGGAGAGTGAACCAGTGGATGGAAGGCATTTCTGTCCATCTCTCCCTCTGTCTATAGCTCTACCTCTCAAATAAATAAAATCTTAAACAATATATAAAGTAGTATGGGATTAAAACCCAAAGTATGAAATAAGTATCCTTGAGTTCATGCTGATATAAATGAATGGTTCAGTCAATAAATAAACAGGGGTGAGAAGATTAGGTAAAAGCTTAGCAAATCTGTATGAACTATGGACCTTAGTTAATAATAATAATAAAATCAAAATTGGTTCCAATGTACCAAATAATGTAAGGTGTTACATAATAGGGGACACTGGTTGTAGGATCAATGGAAACTCATTGTCACTAGTATATTTAAATTTCATATACTACAACCAGGAAACATGGATAGGGAGGCATATGACATTCTAGAAGTGGGGTGAGGGTTGTTTGGATGTGGAATTTTGGGGTCCCAGTTACCCTTGAAGGGGGCATGTGGGCCTTGAGTGGGCAGGTCCCACGGACTCCTTCTCTAGGAAGAAGGGGCCGGGGGAGGGGGAGTGGAGGCTAATATGTGGGGACAAGTAGGTGTCGCTCCCCGTCTTCATGGGGGAACGACACAGAACCCTGCCTAGGCTTCATATCCGAGTCACGGCACCATTATGTCGCTCCCCGTCTTCGTGGAGGAACGACACAGGACCCTGCGCTGTTCTTTCGTCTGCTCGGCCCTCCCCGGGTTTTGCTGCTGGTTCTTCCCGGGTTGGCTACTATCCCTTCCACCTCCGTGGAAGGGCGGTTCCCCCTGGCCACATTCCCCACTTCCGCAGGGGAGCGGCACACCGCCGGCCGGCTTTCTCGGGGGCTGCACAGGTGTTCCTTCAGCTACATGTTCCCCTTAGATGTTCCTGGTGCATGCCGTCTCTCTCCTC